TGTTAAGGATTCCTTCCTATCCCAGTATTATGACAATAGTCTTTAGTTAAATATGCTATTAAAACCTTGCTTGTTTACCATTCATATTTTAAGAAGCACTGAAGGAGATGGAATTACGAGAAACCCGAAATCTGTAATACAGCAAAACAAAAAAAAAAAAAAAAAAAAAAAAGAAGACAGAAGTAGAAGAGCCCACCTTAGTACAATGGCATGGAGCTAAATACATTAGTGTTTCAAACTTACAGGGGTTGACCAGCAGTATCTAAATGCTTAGTGGTTAAGAATCTGCATTGAACAAGTAGATGTGGTCTTCAAGTGAGATTTTAGGAGAGTAACTGACTAATGGAAGGTGAGGAAATCAAGATAATAGACAATGAAAGAAATGAGGTGATAGGAAGATACCACCTCCTTTTTCTTCTAGGAATCACCCAAAGGCAACAACAACAAAGAATAAAAACAGAAATCCCACCTTCAATGAACTCAAGAAAACAGCAACTTCAAGTTATAAAGCAGGTAAAAAGGTTTCAAATATTAATCAATAGAGATTAAGGTGAGGTGGGTATGCAAGAAGGTAGAGAGAGTTTCCCCAAATCTGCAGATTATGAAAGTCTACGAAAGACACATTTAGACTAGCAGTCTAATCCACACAAACACTCAGTCGTTACAGTGTCCCTGAGCTACAAGTGGAAGCATTCCTAAATTCAGTTTGGTTCCAAGAAGCAGTGGAGACAAGGTGACAGTTGTAGGAATAGGACTGTTCCAAAAGATATTAAAAATTCAACAGATTTTCAAGGGCCCAAATTTTCAAGGACTTTTATCTGAAATGCATGATGAGCTTTATTAAATGATTTCTTGGCACCTACTGATATGTTTTTTTTTTTTTTCTTTTTGTTGATGTGTTTAATTACCTTGAATGATTTCCAGATGTTGAACATCCTGTGTCCCTGGAATAAATCCCATTTGGTCATGGTGTATGACCATGCATCCTTTTGATGCATGGTTGGATTCAGTTTATTAAGATTTTCATTGAGGATTTTTAGCCTCAGGTTCATCTGGGAGACTAGCCTGTAGTTTGTGTGTTGTCTCTGGTTTTGGTATTGGTGTGATGTTGGTCTCATGGAATGTATTTGGAAGTATTCCTTACTTTCTCGAGAATTTGAGCAGGTCATTTTTGAAAGAGTTTGTTCAATGTACTTTTGCTTAGGAAACTATCTGGCAAAAGGCTTTTGTTTTATAGAAGAATATTCATTACTGTCTCAGAAGAGATAGACACTTTTCCAAAGAAGAAATGTAAATGGCCAACAGGCATATGAAAAAATATTCATCATCATTTATTATCAGGGAAATGCATATCAAAACCACAGTAAGCTACCACCTCACATCTGTAAGAATGGCCCATATTTAAAAAAAAAAAAAACAGAAACAACAAACACTGACAAGGATATGGTGAAAAAGGAACCCTATTACACTGCTGGTGGGAACTAAACTGATCCAGCCACTACAGAAAGCTGTGTGGAAATTTCTCAAAAGATTAAAAACGGATCTACCATAAGACCCAGCAATTACACTCCTAGGAGTGTAATAGAATGCAAAAGAAATCCGTATTCCTAATGTTTACTGCAGCATTATTTGCAATAGCCAAGACTGGAAACAACCTAAATGCCCTAAAACAGAACACTGGATCAAGACGATGAGGTATGTATACACAGTGGAATATTACTCAGCAATTAAAAAGATAAACTCATGCCATTTGTAGCAACATAGTTGGAGCTAGAAAGGATTATGCTAAGTGAAATAAGTCAGAAGGAAAAAGATAACTATCAGATGATTTCACTTAAATATAGAATATAGTGAAACCAAACAAAGGGTCAGAAAAAAAAAAACTTGCAAGTTAACCATAGATCTGAGGAATCTAGGAGAGAAGACAGGGTCAAGTAAAAACAGGGTAGGGAAGAGTTAAGGGACTACAGTGATGGACTATGGGTCCTATGGTGGCAGGAGAACTATGGGGACTATACCTGAGGGAGAAACCAGAAACTTTCCAAAATTTAACCATGATGTAGTGAAAAAAGTACTTTATCTAAAAATAAACGTTAAGAAACAAACTTTAACAGAAAGAGGGAAGAGTTTATTTAGTGATATCACAATTTCCTACCTCCAATGACTAGGAGATATTAAAGGCTAAACAAACACATCTAAGATTCTTTAGGTTCACAAGCAGCATAGTCCCTTTTCCAAAGAAATTGTGGATACGTAGCTGGTCCAGGAAAAACTCACTTTTTAAAAGTAGGGTATTCAAATAAATATGGCAAAGATTTTATATGAGGGTAAAAGAAAATATGATGTAAAACAAATGCCAAATGCAGGAAAAACTATCAGCTGATGGGCCCTCCCTGGTGGTGCAGTGCGTTAAAGCACAGCACTAAGAAGCTTTAGTCACTTCCACATGAGTTCGATCCCCGCCTGCCCCGAAGGAGATCCACTTGGTGAGGCAGACCTCTCCTGACCCGCCCGCTGTTCCCCTCAGCAGTGTACTTCGTCGATCTGCCTGTTCTGCTCCCCACTCTGTCTCTGGCGAATCCATTCACCCTCCGCATCTCTGGCCTGTACCCAAGTTCTATATGAATCAATAAATAAATCTTAAAAGAAAACTACCAGCTGAAACAGACAGAAAACTTTAAATGATGCAATTGCTTCTTTGAAGAAAGAAAACAAAGCAGGGATATGAGCTCAGGGAAGAGGTTGGGAAAACAATGGAAAAGACAAAATGAAACAGTTAATTGGTAGATCTTAGGAAAGAAATGGAAAGTTAATAGCATTACAGAATAAGATGAAAGCTGAAGGCATATAAAGGAAAACAGATACTGTGGGGGAAATTGTGAGACAGAAAATAAGATCTAAAATTAAGTAAAAGAAAATGCAAAAAAATAAAAAGGAAAGAAAGACTCAAGATAAAATAACAGACACCAAAGATAGGCAAAGATCTACATATTCATAACTGGAGTCCCCAAAAGAGAAAGCAGTGATACAAATGGAAGAGAACAAGTATTTAAAAATATAATTCACAGAAATATTACAGAACATTTGAATCTATACACTGAAAAGAACACTATATCCCTGACAAAAATGGTATAGAAAGTTCATATTGAGAAACAATCTAGTAAAATTATTTAGCCGCAAAGGTAAAGAATCCTCTCTAAATTCATTTCGTCTCTTGCTCCTACCCCAAGCCACAAAACAGTAAAATCATGGCAAGTAAAAGGGCAAAAAGTAATCAGGGTGGTTTTCACTTTTCCCTATCAGTGCTCACACTAGAAAGTAGAAGAGCAATTCCTTCAGAATCCTCAAGGAAATGAAATGCACTATAAGCCAGGAATTTTACAGCCAACCAGTCTATTACTGAATATAAAGTTCAAAGTAAAATATTAAGGGAATGCAGTCAAGTAAAATCATGTGAGAGGAGATAAACATGTTAGTTATATTATTTCTCATAGAAATTAGTGGGTGCTTGTAAAGAAGTAAATGAAGTATATGAAGTTTAGCGTAATAAATAATCAACAGGGAAAAAAAACTAACTTCCCAAATATCAGAAATAGAAATACAAAGTATCTATTGAGGATGATGTTAAGACAATGTCAATACAACTTTCAAATAGAAAACGCAATTTTACCTTTTTCTGGTCCTGCCACACATATCTCGGGTCTCCATAAAAAACAATAGCTACAGTAAAGTGGGTTTTTTTAAGTTATAAAATAACAAGTCCACTATTTTTTTTAAATGACAAAACTCATGTCTGTGTTATAAACAAATGTAAATAAACTCTTCTTTGAAAAGAGACAATTGTTAGATTAGATTAGTATAAGCCAGTTATTGAACATGAAAAATTTACAATGAAAGGGACAGGTTAGAAGAATCCTGAAGAAAATCAATTGAAGATGGAAGTATCAGTATGAACTTAGGGATTATTTAAAAAAAAAAATATATATATATATATATATATACACACACAGAGAGAGATAGAGAAATGGTTATAGCTATATACATAGGCAAATGTCTTTATAAATACACATTTATACACATACATATTTCCCAGCTTTGTCTATATTCCCAAATTTTGCTTTCTAAGTATCATCCATCCACTGCTATAATCAAGGAAGGATCCTTGCAGAAGTGGCTAGCTTGAGAATTGGTATAAAAAGAAAAGCACACAATGAAAATACCAAGAATGCAAGAACTGAGATTTGTCATGAGGACAAGATTGAGGACATCTTTCATAATAAAAAGTTTGTATTCTTTAGGACTATCAAATATATGAGAGATTAGAAAAGACCAAAGGATCATACCAGACTGACAAAGACCAGTAAGATTCAACAACTAATGAAATGCATGTTCCTGACAGGGAACAAACAGCATTGCTGGAATGGCTGGTCAAATGTGAACGGGATGTGCAGGCTGCGTGATGGTGTGACATCAATGTCTGAGGCTGCAGAGTAGAAATACAGGAGTGTCCTTGTTTTAGGGGCCACACATTGAAGTACTGAAGGATAATGTGGTATTATGCTAGAAAAATATTTGTAAAGAGTGCCAGAAAAAAGCACATGTAAAGAGAGGTAATAGATAAAGGCAGGAAAAATGATAACAACTGGGAAATCTGGGCAAAGGAATTATAATTTTTTGCAACTTTTCTGCAGGTTTAAAAGATGTAAGGGAGAAACTAATGAATCATAAACCAGGAAAATAAATCACTCCAATAGCTGGTACTTAAAAAAATAGAGATAAATCATAGTCTAGTTTGAAGATTATGAAATCTAGCAAGAAATGTGACAAAAGCTCAAATAAACAAACAAAAGAATGTTATTTTAAAGACCAAAAGAAATCAAAAGAATGAGATGCTGTTTCAATCACCATTGTATAAATAAATTTTAAGCCCTGTATGAGAGGAACAATGTTCTAGGAAAACACAGTGTATCAGAAATGGTATACAATAAAATAGATCATTATCACATAAGAATTAGGAAGTTACATGAGTTAAACTTTTCCCGAAGTACCAGGTTTAGATGGTTTCCCTGTTGAGTTTCCCAAAATTTGGATACAGGCCATTTCAATGTTATTTTTAACATCTTAGAACACATAAAAAGGAGAAGTTCCTAATTTGTTTTTCTTTTTTTAATGAAATGTGTATGACACTGATACCTAAATCAGAAAAAAAAAATCTGCAAAGTAGTATCATCTTTGATTGCAGAAATCCTAAACAAAGTATTAGCTATTAAATTCAACACATTAAAATCATGATCAAATGGTGGCTTATTTCAGATATGTGAGGATGGTTCATGAAATACTAACATGAGTAATATTACTTATAGGTATAGGGAGAACAATTTATTATTTTCATGAAACTGGAAAGGCATTTAGTAAAAACTCAACATCCACAGGAATAAGACTTTAATATACGAGTGTCTGCTTTTTTCCTCTCTTAAATATAGTGAATTAACAAAATGGGTCTTTTTCTGGATGACTTGTGAAAATTATTTTTGTTAGAATTCTTTACATCTTGCCTGACATATATATTGAAGATATTTTTATCAGGACCTTTTATTTTAATGTTATTCAAATATGTCAAGCTTTACTTTTATAGTTTTTTTCCATTCTGAAATTATATTTTTAAAATCTATTGATTTTTTTCTTTACGCATTTAACATTTGCTGTTCAAAACTTTAATTTATCGGGAACTTAATTTGGAGGAAGAATGAGGAAGTGCCAATTTTGTTCTTCATAGTTGACGTGTCCTAACCTCCATTATTGAACTTTGGTTCCAATGATTTAAAATGGCAGCTTTCTCCTATACAAAGTTTTGTGGCAGACTTGCATTTATTTCTACACTTACTATGCTGTTCGATTGATTCGTCATTAAAAAGAAAGCATTCAAGTTATTTTAATTTCTCCATCTTTATATATTTTTTTTCTTTCTCCATCTTTATATTTTAATATTTAATAGGTGGTCCAACTAATTTTTATAACATATTAAAATTTTTTTATGGAAGATACTTCTGAAATTATGATAGAATTCAAAGAAACTTTTACTACTACTTTATGAAAAAGTATAAGAATAATAAAAAATAGAATAAACATTTACTGGCCTGTTACTATGTGCCAAAAGCTTTTCTTGGGAATACAAATGAAAGCTGTATGCTGTCTTTATAGTTTCATCTTCTTTTTATACCTTTCACACACACTCACATGTATATCTATCTGTATTGTTTAAGTTACATACCTGTCTGATTTCTTTAGTAGCCAGAGTAACTGAGAACTAGACTGCTTGATTAATGCCGCTCTCACAGGAAATGTTACAGGTTGATTTAGTTCACTACATATATTTTCCATCTCTTTCACCATTGTCCAACTGTAACCTGCAGTAAAGGATATTGAAATTATGTAATTGGAATCCTTAAGTCAATCAAATAAAAAAACTAAATTAAATACGAACTAGTAAATGTAAAAATAAGTCATAAAAATTTTCCTTTGGATTTAGAGGGAATTAATATACCACTTAATGCAAGATGTTTTTGGAGTGGAAAATGTAGATTAAAACTTAAATCTAAAATTATGCCACAAGTGACCAAGGGCACATTTAACAAAAATTAAGACATTAAAAAGGTTCACTGACCTTTCAAGCGTAATAAAAGCACATTTTGACAATGTTTATTTTATGTCCAAGATAAAACCTCAGCATCAGTTCCTATACCTATTATTTTCCCCTTGTAAACATATGTGTGCATACTTATAATAGTTTAATTTATAAATTAGGTAGAGTAAAATTAACAATAACTAGTACTAACATAACTACAGTAACATACTGTAATATAAGCAATATGAATACTGTTTCTCTCAGAATATCTTATTGCACATTATTTCTAGACTTTAGTTGACTATGGGCATCTGAAACTCTAGAAAAAAAATCAAAAATGAGGGGAGGGGGATGTATTTTTTAGTATATTTTAATTTGACTAATAAATACATTTAAAAAGTGAGTAGCGGCCCTCCCTGGTGGCGCAGTAGGTTAAAGCATAGCACTAAGAAGCTAAAGCCACTTCAGCATGAGTTCGATCCCCACCACAGAGGTGACCCACATGGCATGACAGACCTCTCCTGACCCACCCGACCTCTCCTGACCCGCCCGACCTCTCCTGACCTGCCTGCTGCTCTCCTCCAGTGTTCTTCGTCAGTTGGCCTGTTCTGCTCCCCACTCTCTCACCGCCCCTGCACCTCTGGCCTGTACCCCAGTTCTGTATGCACAAATAAATCTTTAAAAAAAAAAAGTGAGTACCTTCATTGACTTTCTCTGGATGCCATCCTGTTGTCCAACCCAGGGAAAATGTCACATCTGGAAAGAAGGACTTCACAGTGTCTAGAAAAGGCTTTGCATCCACTACTCTGCTATTGCCATTTGGACCAGGAAGAATATCAGCATTAATCCACACAGGACGCTTCATATGCCTCCTCACATTTTCCAAGAGCATCATGGATGGTTCAACAGCTGCCAGACTGAAAACATAATTACTATCAATGAGACAGTTTCCTAAAGTAAAACTTTTTTTATACTAGTGGTTTTAATATTCTTAAATTCATTAACTAAAAAACAATAGAGACGAGGGTCTTCCCTGGTGACACAAGAAGTTAAAGCACAGCACTATGGAGCTATCACAGTCACTGAAGCATGATTTTGATCCCCGGCCAGGAGGTGACCCACATGGAGCAGCAGACCTCTCCTGACCAGCCTGCTGCTCCCCTCAGCAGTGTACTTCGTGGATCTACCTGTTCTGCTCCCTGCCCTGTCTCTGGTGAATCCTCTCACCCCCCTTCCCTCCCTCATATCTCTGGCCTGTACCCCAGTTCTATATGTATAAATAAATCTTAAAACAATAATGACTAAATTGAATCAAATCAAGTCGCACACAGAACAGGAGGGGGGAAAACTGATAAAGGACATAATCTCAAAATGTAGACTTGTATTTATTTTTCATGAAGATGCTTTGAAGTTCTACCAAAATATGAGTAATGACAGAAGTTTCAAAATTCTGTTTTATTAGGATCACTCAATATATAAACAACTTAAGGAGGACCTCCCTGGTAGCCTCGGGGTTAAGTCTCAATGCTATCACTACTACTGGCCAGAGAGCCCTCCCCTGCCAGGGAGCTAACATGGTGTAGCAAACCTCTCCTGTCTCACCCCACTGCTCCCCTTAGCAATGTATTTCAGAAAATCTGCCTTTTCTGCTCCCCACTCTGTCTCTGGTGAATCCTCTCTTCTCCCTCACCCCAATACCTCTGGTCTATACCCCAGTTCTAAGTAAAAAAACAAACAAACAAAAAAAAAAACACACAAACTTAACACACAAATATGTACTCATCAGAGAATGTGTACACAAGATTTGGAAATAATAACCTAATTTAGATATTATAAAAATATGTGAAGTGTACCCACATACCTTGTCTCTAATATTAGTTCAAGACCTTGGAAAATAAAGTTTTTTCTCTTTCATCTATTTTTGTATGAGTTTGGATGCATAAATACATTGCTAAAATTGTAACATTTTCTTAAAGCATTTATAAATTTCATCTTTTTCTTTATTAGAAACTAGAGACAACTATATTTTAGTTGCTGAAATAAAAAAGTAGCTTCATTCTTTTTTACTTACCTATATCTGTCCTGACACCTACAGATTTTAAAACAATCAGGTTTTAATCAGCCTACATAATTTTTAATTTTTAAAAATGTACACACAAATTTTATTGGAAAAGTAAGACTACTTATAATTCTGAATCTCTTCTGAACCTTTAAAGCTTATGTTCATTTATAAGAAAATTGACAATATTTATATAAGTCAGAAGGGAGCTTCTTAGACTTTCTCAATTTAGTTAACTGAGATAAGGTTGTTTAACAATGATTCTCCAATAATGAGTCTCAGACAGTATATTCTCCCCAAAATTGAAATTTCATCAGTACATGTTAAGTGTCTACTATAGGAAACTGCAGTTGAACAGAATGAAATACAAAACAGAACATAATAAAGCAAGAATTGAATACACATATTTTAATGTTTAATTGTCACTAATATAAACTACAATAATATTACTTTCCTATACCATAAAAAAAAAACCCTATTTTAAGAAAATCATCAAACCTTAAACTAAGGAAAATAAAGCATTTTGTTGTACTTTTTCTTTTCTGAAACTTGATAACATAATCATGATTCTTCTGGAAAAGTCAATGTAGAGAAAAATCTGTTTGGTGGAAAAAAAAAAAACCCACACAACAGAGGGTGAACTTAGCCCAACAGCAAAATACAACATATATTATTAAAGAATAATATATCATGTTCCTATTCTGGAAAACTAAATACTATAAATATTACAAAATGACACATCATTCCCAAAGAACCTGTAAATTCCATGTAATTCAGATAGAATTTTTAAATCACCATGTATTACCTAGTTAAATAACAATATATATATAATAAAGGCACAAAACAAGAACTAGTAAAATTTGACTAATAGGTCATTCAGCAACTTATACAAAGTGATGCAGAGTCCTATGAAAATATGCACGCCCAAGATGGGCTGGCAGCTTGCCTAACAATTATGTAATTGTAAACAGTCACTTATCCACTCTGCCTTTGTTCCCTCAGCTGGAAAATGAGGATAATAGCAATAACCTACCTCTTGGGATTGCTATAAGAAATAAATGAAATAACACTTTCAATGCTCATAGAATAGCATCTGACACACACTAAGTGTTTATATAACTGTTAGTTAAATTCGTTCCCCTTCAAATATGTTATGACCAAAAGGCCCGCAAAATGTTTTTTTTTAGTGACTCGGCCCTTTTGTGGTAGCTGCTAGCATTTGGGAATGAATAAGATGATCTGACTGGTGAGGAGCCACAGAATACATCACCGGGAATAATTCAACAGTTAATAATAGTAAACATGGAAAACTGACACATGAAAAGGCAGAAGCAGCTAAAAACTTTGAGTCCCCACATATTAAAGAACCCTGAACTGGCTCTAGAACACCTGTAATCTGGACCTACGTTCAGCTGTCTTCAAGCTTTTCTGTTCTCCTTGAGTAAATTACTTCAACAGCTCTGGACTAAGTTTCTTTGTCAAAAAAGTGGAGTTGGGCTATTCAGCACCTTAAAAGGTTTAAAATTTTAACTTGTTCATTCACAACTAGTATAACTAGGTTTACAGACTTACAATCATCTTAACCCTATGAGCAAGATTTCCAAACCTTTATTAATCTTGAAATAATTCCATTTAAAGATACTGTTCACTTTCCTACCTGCCTATGGCCATGCAGGTGTCTCTCTTTTTCTTTCTCCTTTTCCTGATAAACCTGTCCTTTTAAAATGTCAAAAAAATAATAATAATTGAAAAATAAAAATGAGGTAAGTTTACTACAAGTATCTCAAATCTTCTTCACAGTTGTCTTCATGGGGTTTGTCCTGGTATTAGCTAGAATTTTTATATTGTCAAAAAAACACAAAAGTAAAATTTCCCATGGCAGCCTTAGGGAAGGAAATGATACTTAACCTTGCTTTTCATTCTCAATGCTTCCAATGTATTGTTTTCATTTTTAAGGCACATTTATGTTACTGACGAATTCTTAGTAATTCCCTGTACACAAATGTAGTAACATAAATGAAGTCGGCTATGCATGAACTACCCAGCTACTGCCAACTATCTCTCCCCAGATTACTTTTGAATAAGAGGTGTATTTTAAATTTACTATTTTTATTATCATAACAGTTACTTATGATTAGTCCCTTTATAAAAATTAACTTAATTTTAGCCTCAAAGGTTTCCCAAGAAACAATCTTAGCAAACTACTTGGTGGGTCTTAGATCCATTTTGAGACATATTAGCTTGGATTTTCATCTTCAGTTTAGAAAAAGTATAAAGTTAGTTATACACATATTATATAAAGCTATTAACTGTTTTTCCCATGTTATTCCACAACAACTAAAAGATTGAACATGTCACACAAAATACCTCTTGAAATCCAGCTTGATGCCTTTATTGCTCTTCACAACTTCAGTCAGCCATTCCTGTAAAGTATTATCGCTATTTGTTTCAGGAGGATGAGCCATGATAGGTTGGCCATGTTCTGACTCATCACTAGGAAGAAGGACATCGGCCTCTATCATATGAGCAGTACCTGCCCAAACAAAATAAGTTGAAGCTAATGTAACAAGGAGATGCCATATCTGGTATCTTTTATAGGAAGATAAAAGAAGGAAAGAAAACTAACATTTTTTTGCACAGCAACAAAATGCAAAGCACAGTGCCAGGCCTTTAAATGTTGTCCTTACATTTTACAGATGAGCAGATAGGTGGTAGGAATTAAGTGCCTTTCCTTGGTCACACGGCTCTCAAACTGTTCTCATGTTAACTAATTTCTTCCCAGTACAGAGCAAAGTGAGTATACAAAGAAACTGCTGAAGTATGAATTTGTTAAGCAGAGAATTTGTTATAGTAAGAATTTGTCAAAATTTCTAAAAATAAAAATAGCACGCTTATCTTTTCACTCTTCAAATTAGAAACTATAGATATATATTACTTAAGCTTGCAACCCTATGTTACAGATTTGGTACTTCAAGTGACAGCTTAGCTACTGTTTAAAAGCACACATCCTGGGAATGGGTAATGAGCTTCCACAGTCACTTAGTGGGAATGTGTTTAGCAAGCTGTGGCAGGCTGACTCTAAAAATAGCTGACAGCAATTCCTCTCATACACATATACTTCTTTTCTCATGTTTTCTCTTCCCCTTGAGTCTGAGCTGGCCTTGTGACTTGCTATGACCAACAGAAGGTAGTAGAAGTAAAACTGTCAGTTCCAGGCATAAGCCCTAGCAGCTTCTGCTTTCATCCTCTTGAAAGCCTGCAACCCTATAAAGAAGTTCATGGAGAGAGAGAAGTCATGTGAAGAAGAACTAAGACTTCCTGCCTGACTGACAGTATCAAGGTCGCTGACATGCGAGGACATTTTAGAATTTCTAGGCCTGTGCCCAACTTACCACACAGAAGGGAAGAACCACAGCTGACCCACAAAATGAAGGGAAAAAGTCAAATGTTATTTTAAGTCACTGTGTTTTGGGGGTAATATAACACAGCAACAAAAAAACAGAAAGAAATAGTTCCCTGGAAGTGGATCACTGTCTTAACAATAAAATGAAACACATGAAGCTGATTTTGGGTGTGAAGGATTCTAGAAAGACAGAGTGCACACTAATGGAAGTTGGAAAACAGTAAGGAATTTCTAACTGGAGGTGTGAGAACAGACAACACTGTGGTGAAACTTTTGGCAACACTGCCACTTACAGCAACTGGTAGAAGACAGAAGGGTACCTGATGGATTTGGGATTAGGCTAAGGAGGTTTCCAGGCAGAATGTTGAAAGTGCCAACTGGTTTCTTTCAGTTGACTTATATGATAAACTATGGCAACAGTTTACTGGGTAAAATAATTAACTCTTCATAGTTTAAGCAGCACAGAGAGGAAATATTTCCACCTCAAAACTTATCCTGAGTTAAAAAATAAAACCCACCCTTCTTCAGTTGGTAAAAAAGATTCTCAAAATAAGACACAGCCCCCAGGCTAAAAGTCAATTCCAGGACACCACCAGTTAACTCAGGGTCAAGATAAACTCAAGGTGGAATTGCTAAAAAGACAAAATGATCTTGCCTGATGTGCCTACACTATTAGACAAAAGAACGTCTAGAACTGTAAGAATATTGTACCACAGTACTGTCCCTAGTAGATCTAAGTAAAGAAAAACCCGTCTCAAAGAGAGTGGGGATGAGGCTTTTGATTCAAGAAACACTTTCTAATTTGATATTTAGAGTCTACTACATTTTTAATAGAAATGTAGCTTAAAGAAACAGATACGTTCAAAATGAAAAGAGGTATGTGGACTCTGAAATTTCTACAAGCAGGAAACAGGCTAAAAAGCTACTCAGCTGCAAAGATGGATCATTTTTCATAAACACATAAAGAGATGATCATCATTAATCTTTAGGGAAATGAAAATTTAAACCACAGTGAGATATGAATCCATATGGTGGTAAAGGACTGTAATAAAAAAGAGTAACAAGTACTGGCAAACACATGGAGAAACTGAAAGCCTTGTTCACTCTGCTCCTAGGAATATAAAACTATACAGGTGCTCTAGACAAGCTTGGCAATTCCTCAAGAAGTACTCATCTAGAAAATGGAGGGTTATACGTACATAATTATAGTCTGAATCCATAAACCAAAAGACACAGATATTCTGCCCAAGGAATTAATTATAAGTCAGTATACAATATAATCCATTCAATAACTGTTTACTGAGTCTTGCTTTAGAAACCATGAAAGACACAAAAATGTGTTGACAGATGATACTGATCTTTAAAATTTTACTCAAATGCAATATATAAACAACTGTAGTAATATGACAGTTTCAATTAAGATCTAGAGAAGAGAGAAATAATGAAAATGTGTTCATTTTGTAAACAATGAGATTACTTATAAAAATGTTTGTCAGTCAGGCCCTCCCTGGTGGCGCAGCGGGTTAAAGCACTGCACTGAGAAGCTAAAGCCACTTCTGCATGAGTTCGACCCCCGCCTGCCCCCGGAGGTGACCACATGGCGTGGCAGACCTCTTCTGACCCGCCCGCTGCTCCCCTCAGCAGTGTACTTCGTCGATCTGCCTGTTCTGCTGCCCACTCTGTCCCTGGTGAAGCCTCTCACCACCCCTGAGCCTCTGGCCTGTACCCCAGTTCTGTATGCACAAATAAATAAATTAAAAAAAAAAAATGTTTGTCAGTCTAGAATTTATACTTGAATCATCTAATTCTTTAATACCCAAATAAAAGAAAGAAATTCACCTCTTTCTGCTACTATGCCCAAATAAAAGAAATTCATCTCTTACTCAATGTAAACACAAATAACTGTATTGACTTACTTTTCAGTGCCTCATTCATTTGTGCTTTGTGGTTAGCTGCATGATACCAGGTGATCTGGGCTCCATCTTCTGTTGTAATCTGCTTATTCCTCAGAAAATATTCCAAAATATTTTCACTCCAAGATCCTAAAATAACAGCATTTGCATTGAAAAGAACAGATTATTTTTTTAATGGGGTAAGTTTTATTGATGGAGAATAATAAAGTAAACTGGGAAAACATTCAAAATTTAGAACAAATATTATATACAGATATAATAAACATGCTACTGTGTAAGTAGTAGCTTTTCCCCCACATCCTTGGCAATATTTGTTGTTACCAGTTTTTTTAATATATACCATTCTTACTAGTGTAAAGTGGTATCTCACTGTGGCTTTAACTTGCATTTTCCTGATTAAGAGGGATATTGAACACTTTTTCATATGCCTGTTAGCCATTCGCATTTCCTCTTTGGAGAAGTGTCTTTTAAGCTTTTCTGCCCTTTTTTTTTTTTAAAGATTTATTTATTTATGCATATAGAACTGGGGTATAAGACAGAGATGCAGGGGCAGTGAGAGGATTCACCAGAGACAGAGTGAGGAGCAGAACAGGCCAACTGTCTGAAGTACACTGCTGAAGGGAGCAGCGGGCGGGTCAGGAGAGGCTGCTGTGCCATGTGGGTCAGCTCCTCAGGGCAGATCAAACTCATGCTGAAGTGGCTTTAGCTTCTTAGTGCTGTGCTTTAACCCATTGTGCCACCAGGGAGGGCCTCTGCCCACTTTTTAACTGGATTATTTATTTTGTTTTGTTGAGTCCTATATGTCTTTGTTATCCATCCCTTAATTTGGGCATTTTTAAAGGCACATTAGTTATTGGCTACAAAAGATATAGCCAATAATGAGAAATTATGAAATTTTAGTATATCCTCATGATAAAATATGTACTGATGTAACTGTTAAAAATGAAATTTATGAGAGATACCAAAAGACTCACAGAGATGGTAATCATACATGTTACCAGAGAAAAGAATAAATGTTAGTGGTGCACACTGAATGTGTACATGGCACCTCTCAACAAAACACACTACATTCAAATTTTTTATAAGGACAACTAGTATTAATAATAAAATACCAAGACTCCAGAATCTAAAAACATTTTAAGTAAAAATTTCTTCTTGCCCTGTTAATGGTGAAACTACTAACATATACTTAGTCACAAATGTATGTATCTTTAGCATTTACCCTACCTGTAATCTAGGGTAGTCCTACTATTTTAAGAAGGCTACAACTGAAACTAGGACAAATAGAAAGGTAAAATTCATTGCGACTTTAAAATTAAGATTTTGGGGAGCAGTTTTAGGCTTGTAGAAAAAAATGAGTGAAAAGCACTGAGTTCCATTTATTTATATAAAAGATACTGTAATTTTCAGTAGAATTATCTGGCTTAACACACCTCTGATTTTAAAGTCAAACACAGTAATACCAGCTTTCAAAAGTTATGCCATAAAGCTGAAATAAAGCCTGGCTACTTTGCTCAAAATGCCCAGTCTCTCTTTCAACTTCCCAATGAGGAAAAGGGTTGGCCAAAACGACTCCCTGTTGATCTGTTCAAATTATGGATTACATAAATGTCACATTCCTTTCATTTCATCCAAGGGGCACAAAAAGCACTATTTCTCCCCTTTGATCCCTCCTTTTCGCATCATATGGGAAGTCTTAGCTTATGTACTAAGATAACAAAGGGAATCAAAAGTTATACAGGGGTCCTCCCTGGTGATTCAACGGATTAAAGCGCAGCACCATGAAGCTTGCCACAGCCACTTCAACCCAAGTTGGATTGCCTGCTAGGGAGATGACCCACCTGTCCTGACCCGCCCGCTGCTCCCCTCAGCAGTGTACTTTGTCTGTCTGCCTGTCCTGCTCCCCATCTGTCTCTGGTGAAACCTCTCACCGCTCTTGCCCCTCTGGCCTGTACCCCAATTCTGACGTTGGAAAAGAGGAAATAAAACTGATGTTTTCTCAGATGATATGTGTATACAGAAAATCTGAAACATTTGACACAAAAATTCTTGGGATTGGTAAGTGATTAGCAAAGCTGTGGGATACAAAAGTTAATCACTTTCTTATATATCAGCAATGAGCAAGTGGAATTTGAAATGAAAAACACTATACCATTTACATTAGCACACCCCCAAAATGAAATGCTTAGGTACAAATCTAACAAAATAAATGCAAGATCTATATGAGGAAAATACAAACCTGAATGTTAGGGGAGGTACTATGCTCCCGCCCACCGCTTACAAGCAGTCACCTTGAACTGCAGGTCCCAGTGTGCCACTAGAAGAGGGGCAGAGCTGAGCAGCCAGGTGAAGCTATAGAGCATGGAAGCAAGTGGACTCAAAATGGAAAAGGGGTTGTTTTCTCTACAACAAGGTCTTGCATGTAGGGTCTTGGAGGAGATGTATGGAAGAGAGACGAGTAGATATACTTGGAAGAGACAGGATATACTTGTGTGAGAGACACATAGGGAAACTGCCCTTGGTGGAGATAGTGCAGACATTATCTTGATTTGTGCTTTGATTTTGCTCTTTTTGTCTCAGACTTGCCTGGGCCCATTCACCTCTTTCTGTGTTTCTCACCTAGAAGGTGCTTTCAATTGGTGGCAATGTTTCAAGCCTCAGAAACCCTGCTCAGGCTGGTCCTTTTTAGCTGGATCATTTGCCCACAGGTAGTGGGTAATTTGGTGTGTTTTACTAGAAAGATATTAGTAATATCCTCTCCTTTCTTCTTTCCCCTGTCTATATACTCTAAGTATAATAAAGATCTAGGACACTAAGAGTCTGCCTTTGTTGTTACGGGGCAGATGGCTGGACCCTGCTTTAGAGCCTGCACAGCCTGTCTGTTTAGGGTTCCTGGGTGTCACTTAGGCAGCGCTAACATGATAATTGAAAATAAAGAACCAAATTAATGTAGAGACAAATAAAAGTAGAGACAAATAAATGTAGAGAACAAATAAATGTAGAAAAACTCAGTATTATCAAAATGTTAGTTCTTCCCAAATTGACCTACAGACTCAAATAATCCCAATCAAAATTCTTACCAAATTATTTTATATATTTTATATCAACCAACTATCTTAAAATCTAAATGGCAAAAACCTAGAATAGCAGGCACAATAATGAAGAACAAATGGAAGACACAATCCAACACCAAGACTTACTACAAAGCTAGTAATGAACAGAGTATAGGATTGCTGAAAGGACAAATAGATCAATGAAACAGAAGAAAGACTCAGAAGTAAACCCCTAGAAATAGAATCAATTGATATTTGGCAAAGAAATGAAGCAATACAAAGGGGTAAAGATAGCATATGGAAGAAATGGTTCTGGAACAACTTAACATTCACATAAAAAAATTAATGAATCTAGAGACAGACCTTACAACTTTCACAAAAAGTAACTCAAAATAGATCATAGACCTAAATGTTAATATAAATGTAAGTGCAAAACTATAAAATGCCTGAAAACAGATAACTGCATCAAGAAAATGTGATATATTTACACAATGGAATACTATTCAGCAATCAAAAAAAATAAACTCATGCCATTCGCAGCAAAATGCACGGAGCTAGAAGGATTACGCTCAATGAAACAAGCCAGAAGGAAAAAGAAAAATGTTTTCGTTTATAGGATGATTACAGGGGAACCAAATAAGGGATCAGGAAAATAATAATAAATAAACAAAATTAACAGGCAACTATTAATCAGAGACATTCTGCGGGGTAGGGGGATTAATACAGGCAAGGGAAGAGCAAAAGCACTACTCTGATGACTCACGGTGAATTGGTGGTATGAATTTCATAGGGACTACAGCTGAGAGAAGAAAGCAAGTATTATACAAAAACGAGCAATGACTTATTAAAAAAGAAAACCCCAGAATTTAGGAAAGAAAACTAGCTATCTTTGGATATAGATAGAACTTTTTAGATGCAACACAAAATGTACCATCCATGAAAGAAATAATGAACAAGCTGAACTTCATTACATGGAAAACTTCTCTGCTAAAAACAACATCAAGAAAATGAAAAGACAAGTCATAGATCCAAAGAAAACAGCTGCAAAATACACACCTGATAAAGGGCTGCAGTTCAAATACAAAGACTCTTAAAGCTCAACAATGAGAAAACAGTCTAATTGAAAAATGGGCCAAATAGCTGGACATCTCACCAAAAGTAATATACAGGTGGCAAATAAGCATTGAAAAGCATGGGGAAACGCAAGTTAAAACACCAGTGAAGTACCACTTCACAGTTATTTGAGTGACCAAAATCTGTACTTCTGGTAATAACAAATGCTGGGGAGTATTCTCAATTCATGAAGGTGGGACTGCTAAATGATAACCACTTTCAGATACATCTGACAATTTCCTATTAACTTATACATACTCTTACACAATCCAGAAGCATGCTCTCTGTTATTTAACCAAAGGAATTAAAAACACGTCCATACAAATATCTTCACACAGATGGTTATAGCAGCTTTATTCATAATTGCCAAAACTTGGAAGCAACGAAAGTATCGGTCTTCAGCAGGTGACTGGATAAACTGTGATACCACCAAAGGGATATTATTCAACACTAAAAAGAAATAAGCCATGAAGTCATGAAACATGTATATTACCAAGTGAAAGACGCCAATCTGAAAAGACTACACGCTATATAATTTCAATTAGATGACATTTGTAAAAGGCAAAACTATATATAACAGAGTTAGCCTGGGGTGGGAACAGACACACAATTTTGAATTTTTATGCTAAACCATTCTGATGCCACAGTAATGGATATGTCATTATATATTTGTCCAACTCTAGAATGTACAAAACCAAGAGTGAACCCTGAGGTAAACTATGTATGATATGTCAATGTATGTCATCATTCTAATGAGTGCATCATTTTGGTGGGGGATTCTGAAAACAAGGGGAAACTGAGTGAGGGTATGGGGAATATGAAGATTCTCTGTGTCTTTCACTCAATTTCCCTATGAACCTAAAATAGCTCTTAAAAACTAAGTAATCTGGGCTCGGGGCGGGGGAAGATCATAATAATGAACAATGATATACCAGAGACATTTTACGGAGGTGGAGTGGGGAATGGGATCAAATGTGGGGTGGATTATGATGACGGCACACAGGTGAACTGGTAATGGGAAGCCCACGGGGATTACAACTGAGATGGAAAGAGGCGATGTAAAAATAAACTTAAATTAAAAAAAAAAAGTACAATATTCTTGACTTTTTTGGCCACCCCAAGGTTTTAGGCCAGTAAATAATGGGTGCGCGGTGAGAACAGCTTACTCGACCACCCAAAAAACCAAGAGGCGCTGCCAGAGTCTCTCGAAGCGGCCCCCAAGTATCCGCCCCACCATGGAAAGTAGCCGACTGCGACCCAAGCGTGGGGAGCTAGGTAGGCTAGAGACCCAACGCCTCAGAACCAGGACTTACCAGGGTCCCCAGCGGCTGCTGTCATGGTGACGGACGCCCGCAGTCCACGCAGGCGCTAAACCACGGGACCCGCCTCTGACCGTTCACAGGAGGCGTGAAAAACCGACTCCGCAAACCGCAGACTCGGGACACAGAAGATGCCAACAGGGACCGCCCGGGAGGCGCTTCCGAAGCGGAAGCGGAAGACGCCGACGCGCATGAGCAGACGTAACTTAATTCGCCCGTGCGCGGTCTGCAGGGCTGTGACCCTCAGGCCAGAGGGAGTGGGGGGTGCTGTTTTGACAGCGCCTCAGAAAACAGTCCTGAAAGTCGTATTAGAGGGAGAAGATGAAACCCCAGAATTGAAAGCAGTTGTTGGTATGGGGGTACGAATTTCCAGAGTTTCATATACTTTATGACATCCAAAAATGATCATGGAAATTAACGCCTTTATCAAAATGAGTGTTTCCGCACAAGGATTGTGCCCTTTTCGGCTCTCCACTGATTTTGGCTAAGAAAGCACTCGTAGCAACTGGACTCGCACCCACCGCGGTCTTTGCCCTCTTTGAATGCTCTTTCCGCAGCTAAACTGGCACAGAAATAGCGCGCTGTGTGGAATGAGATTGATCTGAATTAAACAACCTAGCATTACTATTTTTCTGGTTCTCCGATTATCACAGCTCGACCTGCTAGTTGTGAAATCAGCATGACAATATACCACACAAGCGGAACTCTTCTCGGTGAACTCTTCAGATTCTTTTATTAGTCTTTACAGACTTTGAGTTGTAATTATTCCAACCAACCTGCCAGGATTCTGTGTTCTCTGGCATAATCCAAAATAGTCTTTGATTTTGAGTTTCAGAAAACAATGGCATTTTTAAAAGGATTTATTGGTATATGATTGATTGATATCTGATTTGTAATTTACCTGATGATAAAAAATTTAAACATTTACAGTATTCATTGAATTATGGAAGCAGTACTACAGTCAACTTTACATTTTTATTCAACGCCTGCAACCACTAACCTATTTCTATGGATTTGCCTATTCTGGACATTTCATGAGTGAATCACATAATATTAAGGCTTTTGTGACTGCCTTCTTTCACTTGGTGTGATGTTTTCAAGGTTATCCATATTGTCGTATCAGTACCCAGTGTAAGATTCCATTGTTTGTATTTACTACCGTTATCTGCTCATTAATGTAAGGACATTTGGGTTGTTTCTGTAATAGGATGGTCCCTAGGAAAAGGGGAAGTTCCAGGTTCCCTGCCCCACCCAGAAGGAGGGTGGAGCTGAGCAGAGAAAGAGGGGAAGAAAAGCTGCAGCAGGATGGAGAGTCTGGAGACCTGAGGAAGCCACATGGAACAGCAAAGTGTGATAAGGAAACCGTGCTTGTTTCCTGTCCCTGGACTGGTTAAGGCAGATACCTGCCTTAACCAGTGGGTGAGATACCTGTAGGGAAGTGATTATGACTGTGTTTATATTGATTTTGATTTTCCTCTTTTCCTCCCAGATTTGTATGGCCATTTCTGACCCTTTCCATGGGCCCCGGCCAGAAGGTGCTTTAGTCTTGTGGCGGGCTTTCAGGCCTTGCTTTGGGCCAATCCCTTTCGGGGTGACTTTTGCCCACGAAGGGATGGGTAGCTTTGTAACAGGTACAGGTTTCATGGACTCCGCCCCTACTCCAGATGCTGGAACTCCAAATCCCCTCAGTACCAAGAAGAAGCACGCAGGGACATGAGGGCGGAGCTGAGCAGCCAGGTTGGGATAAAACCGGACATGTGGGCTCTGGGGGGCTCTTGGCCTGGTCGTTTGCAACTGATCGTTTTGGCACTCAATGGGTTTTCAGCGTGCCGCTGGAGTCCAAGTCAGCAGAACTGGTAGGATATCCTAGTTAACCTGTGTTTCTCTCCCTCTTCCCCTGGGTAATATTCCTTTACCTTTCTCCTTATAAATAAATCCATTATTTAACCTTTTGAGTGTGTCCATAATACGATTGAATCGTAAGCGCACGGGTGAAGACCCACAGACAGGCAACCCAGTTCACATTGGGGTGCCCTGTAACAGCTTCAGGTGTTCGATTTAGACATTACATTGTCTTCTGTATTGTATACTCACTGTATTAAAGTCCCTTTTCATTAAAGTTTTCTATGTTTGTCTTGATGCAGCAGATGGCAGAAACCACTTAGAGCAGGCAGGTTTGGGGGTTGAGTGCTGCCCAGCTCTGTCCTGTAACATTTCCACATTTCCACAATTTTGGTTACTGGGGGAGGGGGGTGGAGTGAGGGGTGCTGGGGGAATCACAACAGGTCTAAAATGAAACAACAGCATTTTTTTGAGGAGCACGATCAGATTTGCAAATCAGGGGGGCACAAATTCAAGTAACACCCAATTGTGTTCTTCTGCAGTCTTTGTGCAAGATTAAAGGAAGAAAGAAAGATGAGGGAGAATACTGCAAAAATAAGTTTACAAAAAAATTGTGATACACTAGAGACATCCTTGTTTGTTGGCCTTTAGTCAAATGGCTTTGGTTGCTTGGGAGAAAAAAAAAATTCCTTTTCCTTAGCTCATGGAGAAGTCTATGCTAAGCAGAGAACCAGTTAACAAATACTTTCAAAAGCTGAGTTTTTAACTCAGCAAGTTGGAGTCTCTCTTCAATATTCACTTTCACAGCACTGTCAACATTCACATATAAGTTTTGTGTGGAGCCTATGGATGAATTTCTCTAGGGTATATACACAGAAGTGGAGTCATTTCATATGACAACTGTTCTTAACTTTGAGGAACTGCCAAGGTTGCAAAGCAGCTACACCATTTTACATTCTCACCAGCTATGTATGAAGGTTCCAATTTCTCTATAACCCCACCAACCCTTATTATGCTGGATTTTTAAAAAATTAGGCCACCCTAATTGATATGGAGTATTTCATTGTGGTTTAAATTTACATTTCCCTAGTGACTAATAAAATTGATCACATTTTCAAGTTCCTACTGGCTATTTGCATATCTTCTTTGAAAAAAAATGTGTTCAAAATCATTTGCTTATGATTAAATTAGGTTATCTGTGGACTTTTCGTTTTCCAATTATAAAAATTAGTTGCTTGTACTTTATTTAAATAGTTTATCTTACATGGATTTTTTTTCTCGCCATTTCCATTTATCTGACCATTACTATGTCCTATCATAACATTTCATAAAGGTGGAGTCCCATCTTTAAAAACTAAACAGGCATTTTCAACACCTTTTTGACAATGAATCCTGGACAACATTTAGAAGACAATGGAAAGTTCTCATTTTCATTCTCCATTATAAAAAGGATAGCCAGATAGCAACTGTTACAGAAATTAAGACAGAAAACTTTAACTGAAGTATTTTCTTAAAGAGACTTCCTCCATTACCAGAGATCTTGAATAGCCTCCTGATCAGTGATCTGGAAGCAATTCTATACAAAACTGATGAGCTCAGCTTCCACTTTGGGAAGAAAATCACCTTTTTTCTGTGCTTGCTTGCATTGTTGTTTTAATATTATCTAAGAATTAGATCCTTTGGTGTTTTAGGAGTATTTTCCTGTCTTTTTGAAAGATTGTTTATCTTTTGAGCTCAGTGTTGATGGTGTTGAGTCATTTCCTTTCTGGTTTGACTTCTGTGTATTTTTGGCTGGAGTTTCTCATATTGCTTCTTCAGCTTTCTCATCATCTTCATCAGCTGCAAATTTTACTCTTTCTGTGGAACTTTGCTACCAATTCCAAGTGCAGAATGTTTCCTGGGTAAAATTAGGAGTTTCACATCCTCCTCTTCATCTTCTGATTTTGCATCTTTCTACACAGCTACTAAGTGCTGTCCACTAATATGTACAGGCCCTGAATCACACTTCACACTTAAAGGTAGTATGATTTCAAGGCTCCTGAGGGCTGTTGGCTGTACAGATTTTTCAAAGTTGCCAGTGTTACTTTCATAGAATTGCCTTTATAAATCATTGCTTCTGCTTGAAAATGCTCATTTCATCCTTTCCGTCAGTCCCTAAACTGACTTTGGAGACAACTGTGATCATTTGTAGAAATGTGACCTTTGATGAAATATACTTAACTCACTCTTCAGTAAATGCAGTTGATCTTTGAGTTTACTTTCCATGCCTGTATATTAAGCCTCCTGCCCTCTATTTTGTTATGGAAAGTTTTTGGCAAGCCCTATAGCTATCACCTAACTAGTTATTTACTCCAACTACTTTTTAAATATACATACATTGATGGCTTCAGGTTACTTTAATCCTTGACTCGAGTTTGTTCTGCAATTCAGTGAACATTTTCAAACCAAGGCAATATTCTTCTGGAACAAATACCTGGATTCTATTTTATCACTTGGCAGTTCCTGTTTTCTAATTACTCTGTTTTTTTAGTGTTTAGAATTTGTCTGGTTTCTACTTTTCAGATAGACTATCTCCTCGTTTCTCCATCACTCCAGCTTTTTGTCTTTCCATACTGTACCCTGGGTATTTTCTCCTGATTTATCTATTTCAGTATGTAATTCCCACTGTTGGCTACATTTTCTTGTCATGAAAATAATTTACTAAGTTTTAAACTGCTTCTTAAATATTCTTGGCAATATTTGTATCCATTTCTTTCCCAAATTAGCTCCCATCACTTTTTATGGTTTCCATTCCCTAGAAGTACCTTTCGGCCTTTCTTTAGGCATAAAAAACAAATTGGATACCTAAGTCTTCATTCATTTTTTTTACTCTTTCTTGCATACGGAGTTGAGTTTCCTTAAGAATACCTACTTATTTTTTACAGTTACTAGATGTTGAATTTTAAAAGTAATTTGAAGTCTAAAATTAAGTTACTTTCCTATGGAAAGGATTTACATTTTATTTTTTTTGGCACCTGGAGGCGTTACGTAGGAAAGCTCTTTAAGCAAGTGGTTTCTTTGGATTATATAGGCAGTTCTAAATGTAGCTATAATTTTACATAATTGTTTATTTTCATCCTATCATAAAGGTCAAATACTTGCAAGGGTGGGGCAGAGTTCATCCTATTGTGGGCAGTTCCGCTAGACTGACATTGCCTATTAGATTCACCACCTTGTGTGGACCTGGAACTTAATTTCTGCCCTCTTCATCCCATAAGGTTGTCACATAGGGCCCTATGTTCTCATAGCTTCTCTTTACATTTGAATTGGACATTTCTTGAATTCCCCTTATGTTTTAAAATAGTTTTTATATTTTCATCAGCTATAGTGGTTTTTGACAGGAACATATATCTACATTTCCCAACATGCAAGTTCTAGAGATGGGAAGTGTCCCTGCATTCAATTACAGTTGTACCTAGATGGGAAAATTCTACTATTTCTCTTGTAGTCCTACACTTAGCACATAATACTTGCGGCACAAAATCCATAAATGTTAAGAAATATGCTTAATTGTCCAAACAATTATGTTTAGCAATGTTTATGTGGCTCAAAGATACAGATACCTTGGATTAGTTACCTAATACTCAGTGTTGCATTTAACAAATCACCAGAAAACTGAACAGCTTAAAATAACAAATATTTATTTATACATTTTTTGAGATGTGGAATCTGGGAGTAGCTTAGTGAATGGTTCTCATGAAAATGCAGTCAAACTCTTGGATTAGATGGCCTGACTGGGGTTAAAGAGTCCATTTCTATATATGTGCTATATGTGGCTGTTGGCAAAAGATTTATTTAAGTTTGTCACCAAATGGGCTTCTTTGTGGGATTGCCTATTGTGGCTGCTGGCTTCTTTGAAAGAGGGGAAGAGGGGAAGGTGAAGAAGAGAGAAAAGGGTGAAGAGAGACAGAAAAGGGGGGGGTGGGTGGTAGAAGAAGAACATAGGAGGCACCATAAGATGGACAACATAGTCTTCTGTGGTCTCTGATTCTGTCTCTTTTGCTGTATTATATTGATCAAAAGACCAACAATGGTACAATGTGGAAGGAGATACACCAAGAGATGGGGATAATGGTGGGTTGTCTGAAAGGCTGGCTAGCAACTTATTTACCATCCAAAAAGGAAAAATAAATATTTATTAGAAATTCTTAATAAAGCACTTGAATTGAACCTAGTTCTTCATTTGTATAAGCATGAAAATATGGTTGTAAATTTTATCAATGCAAATGCAGAAAATATTTCCCCCAAAATGTTAAATTTTAAAACGAGTGCCATTCCATACTAAATACAAATCATAGAAAACGAGGTATTTCAAACTCCTAAGAAACTGATATATTAAAAAATTACCAATGTATCAAGTGAAAAAAAGACAAATTTAGATAGCAAGATTTCATGTCTGGTAGGGAAAAAAATAAAGGCATTAAGTAAAGCCCAAATTGAAAAAAAAAATCCTTCAAATGTTTTAGTAATAAATGTTATTAAGAGAAAAATAGTCCTACTAAAACATATGGTCATAGTTCTAGTAATGGGTTTTCTTCTTGCCTTAATGGAATTAAGATGTTTTTATCGGGCCTTCCCTGGTGGCGCAGCGAGTTAAAGCACAGCACTGAGAAGCTTAAGCCGATTCTGCATGGGTTCGATACCCCCTTCCCCCAGAGGAGATGCACATGGCGCAGCAGACCTCTCCTGACCCGCCCGCTGCTGCCCTCAGTAGTATACTTCCTCGATCTGCCTGTTCTGCTCCCCACTCTGTCTATGGTGAATCCTCTCACCCTCTGCATCTCTGGCCTGTACCCCAGTTCTGTATGAAGCATGTACCCCAATTCTGTATAAGTAAATAAATCTTAAAAAAAGATGTTTTTATCAATCACTGATAAAAGAACTTTGACAGAAACAAGGAAACCTTTAAGATTCTATTATAGACTGTAAAGTAACTGAGAAGGTAATATTGTGTTCTTTAGTGTACATAGCATGCTCCTTTTATATAAAAACATTAGGGAAGAAAATAAAGTTATGTATTAATAACTGTTATTTTGTACCTAATTATACAGAAAGAAATATAAATGATTACCTCTTGAGATCAGAGACTAGGAAAACAGGTAGATGCACCCAAGGTGGGAGGTCAGGCCTCCCAGCTAGCACCTGGTTGTCTCAGCTCTATCAATCTATTGCCAGCCACTGCAGCACGAATTTGATCCCCTTGTGGGCCAGGGAGCTGACCCACAAGGCCCAGCAGACCTCTCCGCCTCACCCACTACTCCCCTCAGCAGTGTTTTTCAGTAGATCAGCCTGATCCGTCTATGGAATCCCCTCACCTCACCCCACAGTCCCTTTGGCCTACATCCCAGTTCTTGTAATGCATAAGTAAATAAAAACAAATCTTAAAAAAAAAGATGAGAGATAAAACTTAAATTGATAAATAATTCCTCGTTTTTGAATCATGTGTTTGTCATACATATAAAACCATTAGTCACAAAGAAAAAAAAAATCCCGAGGATGGTTAGGAGGCTTATGATTTATTTCAAGATATTTTCTTTTAAATTTTAAGTCAAATTATCAAAGTTATGCTTGTTATTAAAAACGTTCAGGTCAATAGAAACAACTTTCTGTTTTTCACTTGAAAACTATCTAAATCTAGGTTATTATAAACTTAAGCAGTTTTTATGATTAAATTATAAGATGAGCTATTCACAGAACACAGACGATTCTTTAAAATAAATTTCCTTAAAAAGGAAAATTCATTTATTCTATGTAGTATCTACTTGTCGGATTTTCAACTCTTGCCTAGACAAGTTTAATGCCCACTATCTAATGCAAGGCTTTACATTTCCCTCTGGTTACTGGCATGGCTATCCTTTGTTGTTTTCAACTATCTGGTCATGATTCATAGCTCTATTATAGCATTTACTTTTACTTTGTTATTTATCCACTTCCTACACTCAGCTGCAAGAAGGAAAGAACTATTTCATTCATCTTTCAAGCATGGAAGCTAATAAAATACTCTGCAAAGAGCCAAGTATATAGATACAAAGTGTGCTGGATTGCTACATAAAGCAAATGGCTAGATTTTACTACCTATTTCAAAATTCAGAAAAAGAAAATACTATTAAACTATATAATATAGACCAAAAAATGGATCAATACACACTGAGTACAAAGAACTTTTTCTTCATCTTCTACACAATTTAAAATTTAAATAATTATGAAAAATAAGAACATGACCAGAGAGTAACACATGTTTTCAGAAACATATCTATAAAAAATACTTTAAAATGTGCCTCTAAATTTCAGGCACATAATTCACATTTTTATTAAATGCAAACAAATCTAAATGAATCTAATAAGAGTTCTCAACTGTTTGGTTATCTTAAGGTGTGTTCAGTATTCATAGGTTATACTGCTACTTAAACTGCAAAGTAAACACACTACCTGATGCAATTCTTATTTATCTTATACCACTTAAGGAAATTTGCAAGTTATTACATGCTTTCACTTGTATTATTTATTATTTGTGCTATTTTACATTTTTATGAAGTAGCTATTTCCAGAAAGCTTACATTCTCCACACTATCTGATTAACATTATAGCTGTAACTCAGCAGGCACTATCTGCCCAAATGATTAAATTTCTCACTCCTAGCCTTAGACTTCAGATCCTGAGTCAGACTGTGACATGATCTTCAAATTGAGAAGGTTTATAAATATTTTTCTTGAAACAAGACTATTTTCTTTCTTTGGAGATGTATGAGTGTTTTGATACAAAAACATGTAAGCCACAGAATATGAAAATCATCAAAATAATGACTGGATTTTATATAACTTAAGTTACAGGACTACTAAAATATGTCCTTTATTTTTTGCTGTCAGAAGAAGAAAGCTCTGAAACAATTTCAAATATACAGAATATAGCTTATGTTAAAAAAAATCTACCACAAAATAATTTAAAATATGCAAAAGTAGCCCATTAAAATTTATACTGAATACACTGATGTCAATGAAAATATGCAGTTGCAAGAAATATTTAAAGGAAAATTAAAAAAAAAAAAAAACTGCTTTAGGCTTTATTTATTGCTACATAATGACTACTTCAAGGGTCATATGGCCTGTCATCAATCACTCCTAAAAGTGATAAATACAGTGGTATACATTAGAAGGAAAGGAAGAAAAATAATGCACTGTGATACAAAAATATTACCTATTTATAAATTATTAAAGATTTATAAAACACATACTGAATCATATGTTCTCACTATAAAAACAATCTACTTAAATATAGAAGCACAAAATCTTGAAGCACCACAATTATTTTAAGAATACCCATTTAATCAAGAAAAACCATATATGTAGTAATTATTATTTGAGGAGAAAAAGGCAAAATTCTGATTTTAGTCAAAACAATCAGTTTATCTAATCATGGAGGTAGATCTCCATCCACTCCAATTATACAAGTAAATTATCTGCCTTACTCAAAGAATTATGTTAAGTCCAAGATTTGGAAACAGGTCTGTGCCACTGACAAACAATTTAACTGGCATATACACAAAACAAGTATTTCCTGCATAAGGTTACATCTCAAAAGAGCCTTCATTAAAAGCATTCTTGGGATAAAGATGTATACCTAAAATGCAGATACTTTGGCTTAGCATTTAAATAACATAGTAAATGCTACAAGTTTCTTACTGAAGAATTTATCTTTTTAGTATCTATTATTATAAAGCTTCAAAAACTGTGGATCCTTTAAATTCTTAAAAGATCTGAATAGTAATTAAAAAAAAAAAAGATTCCTACCTAAAAAGCAAAGCTTAAGGTGTTCTGAATATTAACCATACTTACTTTTAGTGTTTGTGGCATTTCAGCTTTAGTTTTAACAAATTAGTTTGCAATATATAACTAATGTCCTTTTACAAAAAAAGATTTTCAATAATGAAAAATACTAGTTCTATTTCTAGTGGTAAATTTGTAGAGTTGGAGGTCCCACCATGGATCACAGGAATTAGAGCATTATCAAGATCATTCAGATAATGCTGAGGCAGAAGCTGGCCTTCAGATCCTGCCTGAAATTCAACCTGCAAAAAACAAAAAATCTTGGGAAGTCAATCCTAAAAGTGAGCAATCTTGTTTAGCTCAGCAGATAAACTATTTAAAAAATAGTTTTGACATGCTAAGAAAATACTGATATTTTATTTATAAAATGTTTTCCATTCTCCCACATTTCCTCTATCCATCTACTATATGAATAATTCTCTCTTACAAATATGAAGATTGAAAATTGACACTACTTTATACCTTAGGTTCTTCTCAATGAACATTTGAACCACTAGAGGACAGAAGTTTTGAGTAAGTACCAATATGACTTTAATAAAAACTCTTTTGTACCTCCCCCTGGCTCAGCAGGCAGTTTGGGAAGGCCTGACTAGGTAAGAGAATGTAAGGTTGTCCTGGGTACAAGGCCATCAGACAGACCACCATGACCAGAAAAATCAGCCCAGCCTCAGAAATGGCGTAGTAGAGGCCAAGATATGTTTCTGTGTCAGAAGGTAGGACTCCAAGACCAGACATACAGCAGGTCCCTGGCACAAACTGGCACCCCAAGAAAAAAAGCACATAAAAACAAAGCATGAAAAACAGCCTTATGTCCTCCTCTGTGAACAGACTTCTCACCCAGTTTCTCTTAGCAGTGTATTTCAATAAATCTGCCATTTCCTTTCTGCATCTGTCTCTGTCTTTTCACCCTTATACCTCTGGCCTCAATCCTGATATTTCTGACAACTACAACTATCGTAGTGTAGTTTGGGGAAAAAAATCTATTCCAAAAGTTTGAGTTCATTTTTGTGATATTTAATATTGAAAGTTAATGTTGCTGTTGAAAAATTTATTTTTAATAATTTGACTAAAATATATTATTAGTGTTTTCTTAAATAACAAATGATAGATGCTTCCTGGGAAAAGGAAGTTTTAAAAAATGAGATGAAAATGTAAGTTCTTGTATCCAATAAGAACTATGCTATCCAAGTATAACACATCCTGGCTGGATAAAAACAAACCTCCAGCATACCACACTCATTCACATTTAACCATTCTAATGAAGAATTGCTTTGAAATCTATTATACTGGATGTATTAACAGTTACAAAATAAATAAAACTATTAGATATGAATTGAAAGTTCAAAGAAAAACAAATAGCTCTTAGGTTAAGATGATCATCACTCACTATAAGAAAAGTAAACATTAAAATTATGTTGGAATACCACTTTCACCTGTCGAATTGGCTAAGTTCAAAAGTTGATTGCATGCCACTCTGGCAGAATGTGGGGGAAAACTTTCAGAAATGGGATAAAAATGTAAGCTTGGCATAATCTCTGAGACTATATATTTGCTGAATACATATGTCGACCTGACAATTCTCTTCCAGGACATTTTTTAAAATTCATACGGAACTGGGGTACAGGCCAGAAGTGCAGGGGGTTGAGAGGATTTACCAGAAACAGAGTGGGGAGAAGAACTGGCAGATGGACAAAGTACACTGCTGAGAGGAGGTCAGGAGAGGTCTGCCGTCCCATGTGGGTCACCTCCAGGGTGCAGGGATCAAACTCTCACTGAAGCAGCTGCAGCTAGCTTGCAGCGTTGTGCTTTAAGCTGATGCACCATTAGAAAGGGCCACATTCCAGGACATTTTCTTATAAACTCACATTTAGGCAAAAGCAAAACACTTTGAACAACTTTATCAACTGGAAAAGTACATAAGCAAATACACACTAGTTAAGTAAATTATGGTATATTTATGTAACCAATTATTTCTATACTACTGTTGAAAAGAATATCAATGTATTGATGTTAATATAATAATTATATTATAATTAAATATAATAATTAATATAATAATGTATTAATATTAAGGTAGCTTTAAAAAATGGTAAGATGTAAAGGAAGGGGAAAACAACATGCTCCTTATTTATATATGCCTAAAACCATAAATAATATATAGTAACATTGATTGCCTGACTGGGAAAGGAGGATGAGGGGGTGTATGGAGCTAGACTGAAGAGCTGAAACAGTTCTATGGGGAACCATTTACATTTAGCCTGGAGTTAGCATCTCCAGGGCCATCTATTGCAGACTAAAATGAATACTGCTCTCTACAAACATCCAGAAAAAGGGAGTATGTGTGTGCTTTAGATCTCTGATACTTTTAGATCACATAAATATAGAATCTAAATAAAGTTTTAAAACCTACTTATCCAGCAGGACTGCTGTGGAGCAGGGGTCAGAACACTAAGGTCTATGGGCCAATTTGGCCCACCAATTATTTCTTTAAACAAAAATTCAGTGGAACACAGATGAGTTTATTTATTTACATAGTGTCTATGGCTGCTTTTGAGTTGAATAGTTGTTAAAAAAAAAAAAAAAAAAACATTCAGCCCCCAAAGCTTAATTTTGTCTAGCCTTTTACCAAAGTTTGCTGATCCCTACTGTGGAAATTACATGAAATAATGTATGTGAAGTATAGTACACATTAGTGGGCAACAAGTTTTTGCTTCCTTCATCTGAAAATAAAAGGTTAGAGAAAACATTTTCATTATTTTAATATGATATTCATTTCAAAAACAAACCACAAAAATGGCTCACCTTATCAGTGTCGATGGAAACTCTGAGGCCAATTTTATTCATTCCATTATTCTTTAGGGTTTTCAGGTGAGGGCACAGTGCAGCACTACAAGCCATGGCTATCTCTTTTGCAAACTGATAACGAGTTGCTGAAACAGATAAATCTTGGTCCTTTAGAAAGTAGAACACCTGAAATACATTTAATTATGAAACAAGGTAAGATTAAGATTTCAAGTAACTTTAAAAATATGGCCAAAAAAAAAAAAAAAAACAACGGCTAACTGCTACTTTCAATAAAATTCAATGTTTCTGCCATGAAACTTACTAGTTAAGAGCATAGATAGCTTGTGTCTGCTATAAAACTTACTAGTTAAGAGCATAGATAGCTTGCTTTAGACTGTAAGTTAAAAATTTTAAACCAGGGCCCTCCCTGATGGCACAGCGGGTTAAAGCACAGCACAAAGAAGCATAAACCACTTCCGCATGAGTTCGATCCCCGCCTGCCCTGGAGGAGCTCCACATGGCGTGGCAGACCTCTCCTGGCCTGTCCGCTGCTCCCCTCAGCAGTGTACTTCAGCGATCTGTCTGTTCTACACCCCACTGTGTCTGGTGAATCCTCTCACCCTCTGCATCTCAGGCCTGTACCCTAGTTCTGTACGAATAAATAAACACATCTTTAAAGAAAAAAAATTTTAAACCAAATGCTATGGAATATGGCAGACTTAGCCAATTTTTTGCCCAAGATTAACTTAACCTAGAGTAATGAAAGCCTAGTTAACTCATGTTAGAGGATACTATAAGATCACCATCCTTTAGAAAGTTAAGCTCAAATAAAGAAAACAATGTTCTATCATTTCTATATGCTTTATGTGTCCTATCTTGCATAAGCATGAAATCATAAAGAATACATTAGAAACAAGTAACATTACTGCTATCCAGGAGGAAGAATGAGAAGGGAGTACAGAGGTGACTCAAGGGAGTTGGAATCTATTGTTGTATAGTTACAGATAAACTTATGTAGGTGTTACAAAAAAGGAATTTACAGAAGTAACTTTCTCACAGGAATGCTGATTAAAGCTGATGTCAACATTTTATTTTTTTTTAAATAGGAGATAAATGAAAATAATATGGTCGAACAGCCTATTAGTGTACAGAGATGCTAATGCTGCCAAAACTTAACTTTGCTGTCAGGCAAGATCATGCTACAAGGGCCTAACATCACCCTATGGAAACCCAAATCCAGTGCAGTAAAGGCAAACTAGCACGGAAATGAGTGTGTGTGAAGGTGTAATAGAAAACGTGTAAAAAACTTCACTTAAATATCCAGAGGTTGAATACTGTGAAATCTCCAAGTTTAAAAAAAGGAACATTTCCAGACAGCATGTGAAGGGAGGAAATCTTTCTCAGTTACCTCGGTGCACTTTACAATCTTTTCATCATTTTCAAAATCTGCTTCCAGTTTTATTTTTTCACTTGGAAATCCTTGCAATGATATCCCATCCACTGAACTAATAACACTATAGAAAAAAAACACAGTACAGTAGAATTATTAATACCAAAATCATTTCTATGAAGTGAATTACTGAAATTAAGGGGGAAAATTATGTAGCTATAAATTAAAAGCAGCAGTAAAAAGAACCAAATTACATTAAAAACAATTAAAACTGTAGTCATTTACCAAGATTTGTTGATTGTGTAGCAAATTATATCTATTTTTTCATATACCCAATTATGGCCTGAGGTTTAGAATACCTTAAATAGTTTCCTAACAGAAAAGCTGTCTCATGAATTTCAAAAACTCTATTTTGGAATCCTTCAGCATTAGCCCTCTTCTTCCTTCTTTGCTCCAGACCCCTTAGCCAATCTCCAAAAAAGAAAAAAAAATGGGTAACTGAAAGAGGAAGGAGTGGCAGTAATATTCTGTAAGTCCCCTAATGTATGTAGTATTAAATCAGTTGCTTGTATTTCTAGTGAATGAATACAATACAGAATAAACTTCCAAAGGGAATCCTTTACTTACTTGTCAAAAATAGGTATCAAATGACAGAAAGTGTCTTGCCTTTCTCAGCCTTACATAAGGCTCGCACTTCTACACAAGGATGTTTTATCATTGGCCCCCTCCCCAAATGACCACCACTTAATAATTTATAGGACCCTGGCCAGGAAAATACACATGAAGCTGGTTAGAAACATGTCTGAAAAAAACAGACTGTATTCATTAACTGGCATATATGCATTTAAGTCAATGTTATAATTCTATATTTATTCATAAAATATTCAACTTTATTAACAGAGTGTTTTTACCCTCTCCCCCCACCCCAAATCAATTACATTTAGTAACAAAATATTCCTACCCTTTGTTTCCTTTTTCTTCAGAATCTACCCAGCAAATATCCACATATTCTCTGAGGTCTACAGCATCCACTTTCCCACATGTAATTTTGAAGTCTTTTTGTTCTCGCAGAGCTAGCCGCAAGCCATCCATGGTCTCGGGAGTTATCTGTACCATTAAGCCATCTAAAAATAAAGTTATAGCTCGCATTTATTTTACTAAACAGCAAATTATATCTCTTAGCCATAAAATCTGTTATCAAATTGTATCTATATCTACTATGAAAAGCACCTCGTGCAACATGAGGCATGTTTTAAATCATCTGTTAAATCATCCTAGTAGTTGTTTTCTACTAGGAAATAAGGAACATTTCACAAAGTTAAGAATTTACCAGTCTTTAACCGTTTAAGAAAATAAAGGCAAAAACTTCTCCTTCTGACTATGATGAGATAGCTAATTGCAAACTAGCAACCAACCATGACTATTCAAAATTTGGAGGTAATTGCTTTGGACACTATCAAAAAAAGTGATACAGGATCCCTAAAGGAAAACTCAACAGCTGAGCCCACAATAATCTATGCTTTCTGGTTAAAGACAATTTCTACACAGTGACTCACTAAGCCTACACAAGCTCTTCTGGACTGAGAAGTCAATGTCAAGCATGGGGAAACCTGGAACCCGGTGTCCAGATTAGGGGGACAACAGATGTTTGTGTATGTATGTGTCCTTTTTTTTTTTTTTAATTATTTTTTTTTAAAGATTTATTTATTTGTGCATACAGAACTGGGGCACAGGCCAGAGGCTCAGGAGCGGTGAGAGGCCTCACCAGAGACAGAGCAGGGAACAGAACAGGCAGATCGACAAAGTACACTCCTGAGGGGAGCAGCGGGCGGGTCAGGAGAGGTCTGACACACCATGTGGTCACCTCCGGGGCAGGCGGGAATCGAACTCATGCTGAAGCAGCTTTAGATTCTCAGTGCTGTGTTCTAACCCGCTGCGCCACCAGGGAGGGCCCTGTATGTATCCTTTTGACTAGAACTTGGGCTAGAACAGGGCATACATTGATAGGGTGAGAATAAGGCCTGAGAATAATCTACTGACCAAGAAATTCCACTCTGTATATAAACTCTAGAGAATATCTCAGACATGTGTCCACACATGCCAAAAGTAAGCTATTAGCAGCATTATTCCCAACAGCAAAAAATGAGAAATGATCTAGCTGGGCATAACCAAAAGATGGATAAATTATCCATTCACAAAATAAAATAATAGCAATGAAAATGACTTAGTTGCTGGCAATAACAGGTATTTTAGAGACAATGTTATATGAAAATAAAAGTTCCATGACTATGAAGAATGATAACCACTTTTATAAATCTCCCAAATAATCAAAAATAAATATTACTTAAATGTATGTTTTCACAGAGGGAAAAAAATAGTAAGACAATGATGAACACAATATTCGGTCTAGTAGATAATTCTTGGAGAAAAGGAGAAAGAATGCATGTGTAGACCCAAATACTAGTCATATTCTACTTCTTGAGCTGGGTAGCAATGTCACATCAGTTTATAGTACTAGGCTTTATAATTCATATAAACCCTTTTATGAGTATCAAATACATATTTAAAAATAAATAGAAAACATTTACATTAAAATAATCTACAGATGCAATTCTTACCTTCAACTATGCTAGACTTAGCAAGAAATCCTGAAGATGTCTTCAGAGCGCCATTGAATACTACAAAACTTGCACCTGTCACTGATTTAAAAAAAAGAAATAATTTACGTTTTAACCTGATTTCTATTTTTTTAAAAAGATTTATGCATAAAGAACTGAAGTACAGGCCAGAGTTGTAGGGGGTGAGAGGAAACAGAATGGAGAGCTGAAGAGGAAGACTGATGAAGTACACTGCTGAGGGGAGCAGTGGGTAAGTCAGAAGTCTGCCCTGCCATGTGGGTCAGCTCCCTTGCTAGAGATAGAACTTTTGCTGCAGTGGCTATGGATAGCCTCATAGTTCTGCACTTTAACCTTTTGTGCCACCAGGGAGGGCCCTGATTTCTATTTTTTATATAGTATTTGTTAAATGCATAATGTAAATGATGGCACATTTTAAAGCCCTGGGTAAATACTGTTACCTTCACCACTTACAATAGAGAGCTTATAGGAAAACAAATCAAAGAACTGCATAAATGTACCTTAATGTTTGTATTAATAATCAATGGACTACAGTACTATTTTAAATGCTTGCATCTGTATCAGTAAGGATGTGGGAAATCAAACATCCACTACTAGTAAAAGCTTAAATCAGAACAATCTCTAAGGAGAACTTGATTAACTATACATTAAAATTTAGAATACACTTACCTTTTGATCATACCACGTGTAAGAAGTAAAGGCATGTGTACAAAGTTATTTTTTACAGTCACAGTTCGTTAACAATAATGCCCATTAATAAGGAAAAATTAAACAATGTACACATGTAAAATACAAAGTTATATGGAATGTAAAACATCTTTAATAAACTAACACATAATAATCTATACGTTATATTAATTAAAGAAAAGGCGGGTCTCCCTGGTGACACGGGTTAAGACACTATGAGGCTGTCTGAAACCATCCCTATGTAGGGGAGGTGACACACATAGCATAGTAGATCTCTCTTGTCTTACCCACTGTTCCCTCACAAGTGTATTTTGTCAATCTGCCTATTCTGCTCCCCACTCTGTTTCAGGTGGATTCTCATTCTACTCCCTGCATCTCTGTTCTGTACCCTAGTTCTTGTATGCATAAATAAATGTTTAAAATATAAAAAAATATATTTATATATAAAGAAAAGGCAAGGCACAGAATGGAACAAATGTTATGATTGGCTTTTAAAAAATTAAAGGAAGATGTGTACATTTACGTGTTTGCTTAAATATATGCACACAAACAAAAGTATCTCTAAAAGGATATGCAGGAAACTGGCAACAGTTTGGATGTCTGTAAAGAGGGAAAGACAGAGGCTTGGGGGTGAAAGAGAGGAACAGATTTTGCACTACATCTTGAATTTTATACTACATAATAAAGTGTTAACTGAATTAACACTTTCACTAAACTTTTTTTTTTTAAAAGATTTATTTATTTATGCATTCAGAACTGGGGTATAGCCAGAGGAGTGGTGGGTGAGAAGATTCGCCAGAGACACAGTAGGGAGCAGAACAGGCCTACTGACGAAGTACACTGCTGAAGGGAGAAGCAAGGGGGTCAGGAAAAGTCTGCCATGCCATGTGGGTCAGCAAACTGGCAGAGAATTGAACTAGTGCTGCAGTGCTTCAGAGAGCTTCATAATGCAGTGCTTTAACACGTTGCTCCACCCGGAAGACTCCTCCACTTAACTTTTACTTTGTTAGGTTCTCTATTGCAAGATTTGGTAATCACAGTAGCTATTCAAGTCATTTAGCAAAAACTGAGAGTAATATCACATCTGCAATTTATCTTACCATCTTTATCATATTTGTATCCCTACTCACAGTTTTATAAATCCTTCTTCATTCTTCCCCCTCCCGTGTTCCCACTAAGAAGAGTTGAAGCAAAGGTGAAAAAAACACCTCACCCAGAGGGCAACTGCTGAAAATAAGGCTCCCACCATATGACTAAACTAGGCCTGAAAAGATCAAACTGCACACTGTTCTAGGTCTTAAAGCCTAAAGTAGTCCAAGAGAAAAACAAATTAAAAAGCAATTTTTAATGTCTATATATCTATAAATTTAAAGCACTTTTTATCACCATCAATTTAGCAAATGAGGTGTGTATATGTGTTTCCCTTCTGAGAATTCTACTTATTGAGGCAGTTTTAAGATTGATACCAAAGACTCACCTTTTCTGGGATGGCCAGTGGCACTGTTGGCCTGTGTTTGATAAACGCCATCATTCTGTATGCAGACTAGATGAGAATCTGCTTCTGTGCTAAAACTTGCCCCAATGCTAATGACATGTTCATTAGAAGAATTTATTACTTTCATTATCTGGGGGAAAAAAAAATTTATAACACTTCTAATATTTTATGCATTTATTAGTTACAACAATTCAGTCGTATTTCTGAACAGCTTCATAATTATCCTGAGAATGTGATAGAAGCCAATATTTTAATACAAAATCACCTCAGTTAATAGGTAAGACAGTAAAGAAAAAGAATAGGATAAAACAAATCACTTACTAGGAAACGTTTAAAATTTCCAAAAGTGTATGTTGTTATCTAGATAGTCTGACTCAAATAAAACAGATTTAATTTGCCATGGTCTGAGGAAACCTAATGTTTAATAAACATCTTTAAAATTATATAAAGCAATTAGACTTACATCATTGTATTTTTTCCTAGGTATTTTTATGCAGCTTTTTCCCATTTCCATATGAATCAACAGTTGATCGATATTATGCAAGGTGTACTGGTAATTTCGAAGATCCTACATAAAAATAATGACATTTCCAAAAACCTTTTATTACTGTCCATTAACATTGTATCTTTAAGAACAGTCAATGCTTTAAGACTTCTGCTATATAACTACCAAAATACCACTGAGAAAGCAGAATGAACTGATAAACCAACTAATCCTTCCGGCTACTCCAAGATGGCAATAAAGAAAATCATTCTCAGGAAGAACATTGTAGTATTGGGGATGGGGGGGTGGTGGTTCTCTTTCTAATTTAAATCATCCAAAACAAACAGGTTTTCAAACAAACATGAGTAAGTAAAAGAAGTGAGTCCACTGAAAAAAGTTTTGGTGGTAACAGGTAAAGACAAAATTACAGAAATTGGAGGTGAAAGGGAACCCGAGAAATCATCTAATTTAATCCTTCCTATTATAAATTTGCTAAAAATTACCATATAAGTAACTCTGGAATGCTTCTACTAAAATTTCCAAAGTTCGAAAAATTGTGTAGATCTCATATTAACTTAAAGTATAAGAATTGCAGAAGAATTAATAAAAATCAATTAAAATCAAGAATAAGGCAATTATGAGATACGATGTACTAAAAAGAAATTCATCAAATTGAACTATTAGGATGAATTAAGATTTATTATAAATTTGATAATACGAACTTTCATTATTCCAAACATAACAAATTAAAATAGAAAAACATTAATGCATGAAATTTGTTAAAAAAATTTTTTATGTAATTGTAATACTGTGATTTAGAGAAAATAGCCTGATAATTTAATGACCAAAACATCTATATTTCATAAATACTTGCCTTTCATCCACAGATCCCAGTTCAAAACTCCCAAAGCATTTGAATGTCTAAGTTCAGTGTTGATCAAAGTTTCGATTATGTTAATGAAGTTAACTTTGGGAAAACTCCCAAAGTCAATAGGTTGGCTACCAGAGAAAGTAACCTGAATAAAGGTTGGAACTCCTCATCCCCCACACCACATCACCTCTAAGGGGAGAGAGGCTGGATTTTGAGTTCAACTGTCAATGGCCAATGAAGTAATCAATCATGTCTTCTTAGTAAAGTATTCATAAAGCCCAAAAGGAGGGACTAAGGAGAGCAAATAGAGATTTGGGGAGAACAACATGCTTGGAGAAGGCGAGGGTATGCCCAGCTTCCCCCACACCTTGCCCTATTCTATTTGGCTGTTGATTTGTACCCCTTAGCTTAGTAGCCCTTGTAATAAATCTGTGATCAGGTAAGTAAACTGGTTTCCTGAGTGCTATTTGTGGTTCCAGTAAATTAATCCAACTTGAGATGAACATCCTGGGAATCTCTCATTTATAGCTAGTTAGAAAAGCACAAATAATAATGTATTGAAACTGGCACCAGAAGTCTGAGGAAGGAAATACTGGAACATCAGGTCTCTAGCTACCTGGACAGAAGCACAGGCAAATACCTGGGGCTTAAACTGAAGGGCAGTCTTGGGACACTGAGTCCATAACCTGCAGAATGTGGCTAGATAATGCAAGAATTGAGGTGAATTTTCACCTCTGTCAAAATTGGTCCTTCCAGTACTAAAAAGCAGTAACAATAGAAGAACATCTAATAAAATAATTCAATTACTCACAACAAGTAAGTTCATAATAGTGTGTCCAATTTCTCCAAAAAGAGGTTTTCGGCCTCTGATACTTGTTAGAGGAGTAGGATATGCTATATATAAGAAAGGAAAATAGGTTACTGTTGTCAACAACAAACCCCAAAATGTTTTAATTAATTATCTTTAATTCTCAGTTTTCAAACATTATAGATACTTACCACCCAGCCAGTACTCTGGAGAAACTGAGAAATGAGAATAACAAGGTGCACCTACTAGATACAATACTGAACTTAAACCTTACATACTCTATTTTTTTAAACCCCATTTTTAAGTATGTCTATACCTACATATATGTATTTCCATAAATTCTGACAGCTTAAAAATAATAATGATTAGCTAAACCCCTATACAGGTACATTAAAGAGAAACATGAAGACTTAAAAGATTTTTTTATTTTATTATTTTTTTAAAGATTTATTTATTTATGCATACAGAACTGGGGCACAGGCCAGAGGTGCAGGGGTGGTGAGAGGCTTCACCACAGACAGAGTAGGGAGCAGAACAGGCAGATCACTGAAGTACACTGCTGAGGGGAGCAGCAGTCAGGAGAGGTCTGCCACGCCATGTGGTCACCTCTGAGGCAGGCGGGGATCCAACTCATGCTGTAGTAACTTTAGTTCCTCAATGCTGTGCTTTAATCTGCTGCGCCACCAGGGAGGGCCGACTTAAAAGATTTTTAAGGCATTAGTAATTAATGTTTAGCTATGTTAGTTTATGAATGGTAGAAAACTTAGTGTTTGAGTTAACAGGATTACAAGAAATGTATGGAGTCAAAGCAGAGAAAGATTACAGATCAACCTGTCACCAAACTACTCTTCTCTTTTTCTAGGGTACTATAAATATTGTGCACAAACAAGGAAAAGCTAGCCTGCTGGCAATGCAGCAGGGTCTTAAAAGAAAAACGAAGGTAAGACCATTCTTATGATGGCAAGAAGCAGATATTTTTAAACCTTCAGGTATCACTGTAGATCATATGCAAACAAACCTAATACTCATTGTACAATTATAACTATACTTCCTAAAAATTCATTTTTTGGTTTTTCGTCTTAACTTCTTTATTAAGTTGGTTGTGTAAAAGGTATATGTTCCATATTGACAATTCCTGTCATGAACAAAAGCAACAAAAATAGCAATAGCAACAAATGTTTTATATGTGAACAATCAAGTTGTAAGAATATGTAATCCAGTCCTGTACAACAAAAAAGCAAAAGGTGAATAAGCCTTCTATTCAGAATATACCCAAATCTATGTGCACAGCACCCATAATATAGCTCACTTAGATTCCTTGTTTGTGATGCATATTCCTTAATCACTCGTTTGTGAAATAAGAATGAACATAAAGAAATACAAAATCCAAATTTCATTTATTTTCACAGTATCAATGCTAAATTCAAAGCAGCAACTTCACTGACTCTAAATGTTAAGGGACTCAAAAGTAAAAGGCAACTTTAATTTTTTAACCCTATGAACAGGATCTACAAAAAAAAAAAAATGGTTTATTTACTCAAAGGAGATTAAGTCTCAGCCTGCACTTACATGGCATGAGGAACAAAAGACAGCAACCACCACCAAGCAATGCCCAAACATATCAAAGTAACTAGTTGAACCATGTTCTTTCTACTTATATAGCAAGTGTATTAAAAAAACAAAATAGGCCCTCCCTGGTGGCACAGCGGGTTAAAGCACAGCACTGAGAAGCTAAAGCCACTTCCGCATGAATTCGATTCCCGCCTGCCCCAGAGGTGACCACATGGTGCGGCAGACCTCTCCTGACCGGCCCGCTGCTCCCCTCAGCAGTGTACTTCTTCGATCTGCCTGTTCTGCTCCCCACTCTGTCCCTGGTAAATCCTCTCACCTTCTGCATCTCTGGCCTGTACCTCAGTTCTGTATGAATAAATAAATTAAATCTAAAAAAAAAAAAAAATACATTTATATATTAAATTCTAGGAAAGGTACAAGCTTTATGAAAAAAGCAGCAAAATTTTAAACCCATCAATTTACTGAAAAACCCATCTAATTACTTTATTAGAAACAAATAATGGTTCTCAAGATTTGGCAAAAGGTCATAATGTAGATGTATATTTCATCCTGTATGTTTCTCCCTTTAATTATACGCCAGTAGGAGGTGGAATACCTCCTTGGTTATGGGAAGCAGACGTACTTGATGGACTGTGTGGGCTGGGCTCCTTATACACAAACCATGCATTTCCTCCCCAAAGTATACTCAGAAAGCCAAAGATCACAGATACGTTTAGAGATCCCCTGCTAGTTAGACACAAAATGACACGTCACTTCTACATTATCACAAGGCTGAAGTTCCTGGATGGGGAGCTATCTTAATATCTGTAAGAGCTTTAGCCCAGGCAGAAGTGATCACCAAAAAAAAGTAGCAACCAGGGTAACAACAAAGTCAATCATGGGAAATTTTTGACTATCCCAATAGGAGTTTGTATAACCAATACAAAGGAAAAGAGCAGCAAAGCAGTATAGGGAGACAAAGACTGCAAATGTAACACAAAATTCTGCAGAGGAAGAATAAACTTCCTAAAAATTCTAAGAAAACACTTGAAATTATGTATTTTAAAAACTTAAGTCAGAGTTAACTCACATCTTTGTTACTACACACATATTTTGTAATTTTTTTAAAGTTATTTGGAGGCTAAGAGTGCAGAATGGAATATGCTTCGGACACTACTGTCAGAAGATATTAAAGTGATGAAGGATACAATTAAGGTAAATGTTATTTTTTTACTTCATTATGAATAAGGGAGCATCATTTGCAAACCTAACAATGTTACTTAAAAACACATTTTTTAGAGGGTATAGGTTAGAATGACATTGTCAGAATTACAAAGGGACATTACAGAACAACATTCAGTGCTATTCTAATATAATGATGTGTTGTTTTTAATGAGGCAAATGATCAAACATAGAAGGGTACATAATCCCCATTTAAAGTTACTAATTTCAGACAGTTATTTCAGCATTTAATCTTCGGACTATTTTTGCCCAATGTAAATTATAGCAAAGTAAACACACATACCATTTTCAAGTTCATGTGTAAAGAGGCGTAACATCAAACTGTTAATCTAAAATCCATCAAATGTAACTTTAGGAAACAGCTCAACTGGCCGATTTGCCATCATTTTCTTGTGAGGTATCTACAAGTGTTACTGGTCAAATTTAGAGAGCACATGCTCATAATGACTTAAGACTGGCTAGTATATCCACCTAAACTACCATAAAAATAGCATTTGAATATTAAGCTAAAGGGATGTAATACTAACTTTGAATGAAATTTCTTAGGTTTCTTAGGTTACTTTTTGCATAGCTTAATAACATTCCATATTTAGGTCCTAACCTAATGGGGGGTATCCTCTCACCTTATCAGAGTTTAATAAAAGTGACAAAGAAATTTAATGATTATCTCTTCCACTTAATTTGTTCACAATTAATGGTCACTTCTATAACTTCCCTACATTTAATTTTCCTCTAAGAAATTGTTATATTAGAATCAAGTGAATAAAATTTTATTAGCTGTGGTGTACCTCAATAAATTACTTCCTGAAAAATGTCAGGAATAAAAAAAATGGGAATTCAAAAAAGGTTAACAATAAAAAATCACTTAGAAAGAATAATAAACATAAGCCTGGATCATTTCACAATTTAAGTATCTCTAGTTATGTCATGGTTAAAAAGTAAACTTACACACAAAAAACCACATATATACAAATAACAAATAATAGCCTATATCACGTCTGGATTATCAATATCAGGAATAGAAAACTAAGATAAAGAAACTTTAAGCTTATAAAGATGTAACCAAATTATTGCTTCCCTTAAAAATACTAAATTATTGGGCCTTCCCTGGTGGCACAATGGATTAGGACACAGCACTGCAAGCTAGCTATAGCTGCTTCAGTGCAAGTTTGATTCAAGGGCCCAGAGGTGACCACTATGGCGCAGCAGACCTCTCCTGACCCACCCGCTGCTCCCATCAGCAGTGCACTTTGTCCATCTGCCTATTCTACTCCTTACTCTGTCTCTGGTGGACTCTTTGACCACTCCTGTACCTCTGGCCTGTACCCCAGTTTTGTATGCAGAACTTAAAAAAAAAAGTGTTCAAAAAAATACTAAATTATTGATGATTATAATCAGTCATTGAAAGCAATTCCACCTGATAATCCAAAACTCCTTCATGTTTGCTTCTATGTTGTACACAGATGAGAAGGGACAATTATTTGCTTCCTAATAATAGTCAATATAACAAAATAAACCCCTTATATAAGGTACACAATTCTATGAAAACTTCTCAGGATTTTCTGTATTATGCTGTAAAATTTTTAAAATATTTATGTAGGTTATTTATGAGCATCTAAAACCTTCTTAATATTCCAAACTTTTCTGGACTAACTTGATAGCAGAGGAAGGTTGTTTTGGAATTTATAAGTACAGCAAAATAAAAGTGGTGCCATTAATCCATTAAAAACTGGCTTTAATGACCCCTGAAATTCTTACTTTACATTCAACAAATTTAGCCTACATACCTTATTATTCTAAAACTCAACTTAGGGCCTTCCCTGGTGGGGCAAGGGTAAAAGTGTAGCAGTAAGATGCTGTCCACAGTGACTGCAGCGTAAGTTTGATCCTTGCCCCAGTGGTGACCCACATGGTGCAACAGACCTCTCCTGACCCGCCTACTGCTCCCCACAGCAGTGTATTTCATGTAACCTGCCTATTCTGCTCCCCACTCTGTCTCTAATGAACCCTCTCACCCCCCACACCTTAGGCCTGTACACTAGTTCTTATATGCATAAATAAATCTTTCAAAAAATAAAAAATAAATAAACTCACCTTTATATTCTGCACCCAGTCTTAACATTAAACGCATAGGAAAAACCTTTGCCCAAGGAATCTCTAGCTTCTGGATAAGAATTCCACAAAGAAAAGGATTACTTGGTAATGGTAGCTCCTCAAGTTTCTGAAAAGTAGGTGTAATAAACAGGAATCCTCCATGATCCTTGCTTTTGAGAAAACTCTCAGTAAAGGTAATATTGTTCAAATTTTCTATGTATTTTCCTGGAAATAAAACCATTAATAAAAAGATTTTAAATTGTTTTGAAGAAAAGTTCTGAGTTTAAATATCCCAATATAAACATTCTTAAGTAAAAGCAATGTAGTATATTGTTTCCTACTTCTACTCTTGATAAAGCATCTATTAAATAACTTCAGTACACAAAGTTCAGTTATTTTTATAGAGTGAGAATGAACAAAAATTTGAAAATGCTTCTAACCACAGGCATTTTTAAAGTTTTCTTCTTACTGCATAGCAAAGTGAAAAACTGTCATATCCTTCCAATCTTATATAGATGGTCAAAATGGAACACAGGAAATGTTAGAGGAAAAGTCAAAAATATCCACATTTTTTAAATAAAAAAAAAAAACCCTATGTAAAGACACAAATTACATGGCATACTAGTTCTAAAGAGACTAAAAATGATGACTAAATTTTTCTTAAGAAATCAGTGATCTTCCACGCTTAGTGAAATAAGCCAGAAAGAAAAGGAAAAATGCCGGATGGTTTCTCTCATAGCAGGAATGTAACGGAACTGGGGAGAAAATAATGATAATGATGAAAAGCTATATACCAGAGACATTTTGTGGGGGTGGAGAGGGGAATGGGGTCAAAAACAGCAGAGGGAGGGAAATGCACTGGACTATGGTGATGGCACATGGCTGATTTGGTGATGGGAACCCCAAGGGGATTGCAAATGAGATGGAAAAATGCACAAGATGATGTAAAAATAAACTATTATATATTAAAAAAAAATCAGTGATCTCATCACAAAATATATGTTTAGTATGATACTTATAGCTAAAAATATAAACACCTTAATTAATACATCTATCCTCTAGACGAACAATTCAAAATAAAATGCCATACCTTTTACAGCATCCTTATATATGGTGATAAATAGTCTGAAGATGTCCTTAGGAATAGTATCTTCATTTGGCAAACATAACAACAGAATAATAATTTCTGCCTGTCCCAAGCCATGCAATCCATTGGTTGAGTAGAACCAATATCTATCTGAGGAATCTTAAATGATAAAAGCATACAACTAAAAATGTCAATTAAACAAACAAAAAACTAAATATAATTGTCTTTTGCATTAGGCAGAGCTTTTCAAATTCTTATTTTCCCAAAAATTTTAAATTGAATTGTATATAATCAAAATAAAAAAGACATACAATGAAAGACTCTTATGGTATCAATTAATAAAAGACATTGAAGTAAAAGATGCACTGATATGCTGAAATGTGGTGGGGTAAGAATCAGTTTAGTTTCAAAGAGAATGAACTCATGCTATAGATGCACTGTTGAATACTGAGGTTTATTTACTATTAAGAATTATTCTCTATTTCCAATTAGGTAGGTGCTATATCATTTACTTTAAAGCTATCTTACTGTAACTAAATCAGGATTCTTGTTTTTTCCAATTACCAAATTTCAATTTATCTAAAAGCTAATATGAAACACAAATGTATCATGAGCCTTAAAATTCAGATCAGCTATTAGCTAAGAACCTTAACCAAAGAATCACTAGGGGCACTAGTATAAATCTGTAAGCTTAGCAAAAAAAATTTCTGTTAAGCTTGTATTTCAAATCTCAGTGAATATAAGTTTGCAAAATTTAATTATAGTTTTACCTGCCTTAAAAACAACCAATATCCAACACTGTTTATTTCCCACAGGTGTGAATCAAAACCTAACGGAAGATGTAAATAATGTAAAAATCCTGCTCATCAATTAAGTAAAGAAAGGAGAATCATACTTACAAAATACTAACTTGACATTCACAAGTAGGTTAGCATTTAGGACAAATGTAACAGGACCAAAGCTTTCATCTTCCAAAAGGGACATGATCTGTTCATGAGATGGGTGTTCTTCAACTACAGGCTCTAAACCATGAAAACAACATATTACATAGAATAAACATGACTTCCTGCTAATGTTAATATTCTAATATTCATTAGAATAAATGTGACTTCCTTTCTCTTACAAAAAATCCACTACATTGATCAAATTTTTAAAAGTACATTTCATAAATTCAATACTCCAAACAACTGTTATTCATTCAACTTTTCCATTTACATAAAGATATTAATGTGTAATACATATAAATCATGATAGTATATATGCAAGCATGTTGATTAAATAGCATTTGTACAATTTTAGCAACTGTAAAATTTTTAAACAAGCATTTTTTCAAGTGGATTCTAACATCTGAAGAGGTATGAACCTATACTTCCCAAATTATATAAAAAGACTGTAAACCATTATAACTTCAATGCAAGTAATATAATAAAAACAATAACAGGAAAGTGCACCTAGTTTGCCAGTTGCTCCTATTACAAATTCTGAAATTTACAATTCTGACTCTGAAAGTAATGTAGACTTGAGTTGTACATGCTGTTTGCTGTCACATGTCTTTCGTCAGTGGCATGCAGGGGGAAAAATAATGATGACCAAAATATGCATAGTATGCAAAGAACTGGTCCTACGGTATTTTTGTCACTATGCTAGGTTCCTGAGATAGCTCCTACTGACGAGAGAACCTATGCTTTCTTGCCCTACATCATCATGAAGAGAAATAATGATTTCAAGCTACAGGATGCAGCGCAATGCCTGGAGCAGCAGAATGTATCCTAGGAAACCACTCTCAGGTGGGAGCAAGCCACAGAATCTCCAGCCTGGAAAGGACCTTAAAGATTTTATTTTCTTTCAAAAAGTAAACAGGCTCAAAGAGATTAACTAACACGCTTCAAGCAGCCCATGTAATAAGTAGAATGAAGAGGAACTAAATTCCTAGTTTTGTCATCCAATCCAAGAGTATCTTCTCAGGCAGTATGCTCCTAAAAAAAATAATAATAATAATAACATGCTCCTTTAAAAAACATGACACAAGTTAAACCTCAGCAAATCTATCTGCAGCCACTGAAGCATGAGTTCATCACCAGCCAGGGAGCTGACCCACATGGCACAGCAGGCCTCTCCTGTCTTGAGCACCACTCCCCTCAAACAGTGTATTTCAGTACACTTGCCTGTTCTTCTTCCTACTGTCTCTGCTGAATCCTCCCACCCCCTTACCCTCTCTTGCCTACACCCCAGGTCTTGTATACATAAATAAATAAATCTTTTTTAAAATGACATGGAATGGGGCAGTAGAGCTAAAAAGATACTTCTCCAAAGAGGAAATGCAGATGGCCAACAGGCATATGAAAAAATGTTCAACATCACTTGTAATAAGAGAGATGCAAATTAAAACCACAATGAGATACTACCTCACCCCAGTGAGAATGGCACATCTTCAAACAACTAGCAACAACAATTGTTGGCGAGGATGTGGAGAAAAAGGAACTCTCCTGCACTGCTGGTGGGAATGCAAACTAGTACAACCACTATGGAAAACTGTCTGGAGATTCCTCAAACTGCTAAACATGGAGCTTCCCTACGACCCAGCAATCCCACTCCTAGATATCTATCCAAAAGACACAAAAACACTGATTGAAAAAGATACTTGTACCCCCATGTTTATTGCTGCTTTATTTACAATTGGAAAAACATGGAAGCAGCCCAAATGCCCAAAAGTAGATGACTGGATTAGAAAGATGTGGTACATATATACAATGGAATATTACTCAGCAACCAAAAAAGAGAAACACATGTCTTTTGCAGCAACTTGGATGGAGCTGGAAAAGATCATGCTTAGTGAGATAAGCCAGAAAGAGAAAGAAAAATACCGGATGGTTTCACTCATAGCAGGAGTATAATGGACCAGGCAAGAAAATAACAAAAATAATGAACAACCATATACCAGAGACATTCTGTGGGGGCGGAGTGGGGAATGGGATCAAAAACGGGGGGGGGGGAGGGAAATGCACGGGACTATGGGGGGATTTGGTGATGGGAAACCCGCGGGGATTACAATCGAGATGGAAAAAAAAAAAATGATGTAAAAATAAACTTTGTAATAAAAAAAAATGACATGGAATGAAACTCTAATATAATGGAAACACTTCTCAGGAATAAAAGTTCATTGAGTTTCACTAGTTTTAAAGATTTTCTAAATTAGGGACCTATGTCATATTCAAATAAATTCACATGTTCATTTGTTTTAGATTATGTTTTTAAATACTAAGATTTTGTATAACCTAAAGTTATAAGCCATGGCACATATTTCAACCAAACTGCCTGGTTTTTTTTTAAAAAATGCATGTCATACATTACAAACAAAAGTCATCAGAATACTGTTTTTAAAATTTAAGTAATTACAATCCTACCTGATCCCTTTTCTCCAGATGCAACCAGAAGAGGGGGCAAGCTGTCTTCATCATTAGGTAGAAGACTAATCTTATTACAAACATGCTGGTCAATACCACACAATAACCTATAATCTGAAGCACTAACACCAGGTAACTTGTTAACTAAAACACCAGAACTAGATGGTTCCTCAATTTCTGCAAATACATTATCACCTAGTGTTGTTAAAGACCCAGAAGTAAGTAACCCCTCAGTTCCTGGGTTGATAGGCAGCTTTTCCACAGATGTAACCTGAGAAACAGGACTATGAATTATCTCAGTTCTTGTAATTTCGCCCATCTCATTGTCTGGTTTTTCCACTGTAGTAGAATTGGTGTGATCCAGTGTGTTTACCTTCTGCAAAATATGGAATAAAAAAAAAAATCAGTTCATACTGTCTTTTCAATTCTGAAATGCTGATCTCTACAAGCAAACATACCTTTTTAATAAGAATAAATAAAGTCAAAATGGGCTCAGAAATTCTTCTGAAGCATAGTTTGTCAAGAAATAGTACCATTTTGCTTCTTTAAATTCAGGAACATAAGTTTTCTGCTTTACAATAAGCTAAATATTTGTTTTAAAGCTTTGTTTCTGCTTTTTTTAAGATTTATTTATGCATACAGAACTGGGGTATAAGTAGAGGTACAGGAATGGCAAAAGGACTGACCAGAGACAGAGTGGGGAGCATAACAGGGAGATCAACAAAGTACACTGCTGAGGGCAACAGTGGGCGGGTCAGGAGAGGTCTGCTGCGCCATGTGGATCACCTCCAGAGCCCAGGATTGAACTTGCACTGAGAGATCGCTGTGCTAGCTTGCAGTGCTGCATCCTAACCCCTTGCTCCACCAGGGAAGGCCATGACTTTACAGTTTTTTGTCAGAACAATATGTCTCGTATTAGTGCAATGGTTAATTTTTAAAGTGACTTCTAAAGTTTAATTTTAATACAGTAATTATCAGTAAGCCTAACCTAAAAATCTACAATTCACTGAGATTCTAAATAATTATTAAAAATGTACAAGGGGAGGCCCTCCCTGGTGGCGCAGTGGGTTAAAGCACTGCACAAAGAAGCTTAAGCCACTTCCGCATGAGTTTGATTCCCGCCTGCCCCGGAGGAGACCGCATGGCGTGGCAGACCTCTCCTGACCCGCCCGCTGCTCCCCTCAGCAGTGTACTTCGTCGATCTGCCTGTTCTGCACCCCACTCTGTCTCTGGTGAATCCTTTCACCCTCCGAATCTCTGGCCTGTACCCCAGTTCTGTATGAATAAATAAATAAATCTTTAAAAAAAAAAATGTACAAGGAGTTCTGAGACTAAGAAATTTGAGAATCATTTCCTTAAAGACATTACAAAAAATGCTCTCTAATAATCACACAAGGAATTATCTATAAAATAATTTTACTAAATTAACAAATCATTGTAAATATTCCTTACCAAGGGTACATCAGGTAAGAGAGGACTAGAGTCTTCTGAACATTTTTTAGTTCCAGATGATAATTTCGTTGTATCTGCAACTTCCCCATTGGGCAATATCCCATCTGCAAACCATACTCTCTTCTGTTCCTTGGAGCATAATCCTAGTATTGGTATAAAAATAAAAGTATTTTAATGTGGCAATACTGCCATGATTTAATACTAAATGAACCAGAAAACAACTCAAAAGCTTTTTGTTATTCACTGACAAGCCTGCCAATGGGTTGCAAGGTTTTTTGTGATACATCTACAGAATCCAAGTCTTTTTCTAACTCATGCAAAGGCAAGACTAGCTCTAAAAATCACTTGTCAAAAGGAATTGATAGGAATTATTTGTTAAGGAAATGGACAGGATGGAGTTTGGCAGATAAGGAAAAACATGCAAACAACAGAAAGTGTCATAAAAAGTCTAAATAAAGGAAACCAAAACCATACATACATTGGAAGTCATTACTTTTAACAGTGCTCTTATATAGTAAACTTCACTGCTCTCTAGTATGACCTCCCAAATTTAAAGGGAATAACTAAGTATTTGTTCTCCTTTATTACAAAGCATTCAGAGGAAGGTTATGGAAGTTGCTGTGACATATCTGAGAACATAATCAGGTAACAATGAAAAAACTGTAATATATAATTTTTGTAATTTGGTGCTTTTCTTGGGTTTGTACTACTTTTTTTTTTTTTTTTAAGATTTATTTATTTTCACATACAGAACTAGGGTACAGGCCAGAGGCTCAGGGGTGGCGAGAGGCTTCACCAGAGACAGAGTGGGGAGCAGAACAGGCAGTTTAACGAAGTATACTGCTGAGGGGAGCAGCGGGTGGGTCAGGAGAGGTCTGCCACGCCATGTGGTCACCGCTGGGGCAGGCGGGAATCGAACTCAAGAGGAAGTGGCTTTAGCTTCTTAGTGCTGTGCTTCAACCCGCTGCGCCACCAGGGAGGGCCCTGGTTTGTACTACTTTTATAAAAATAATAATTTAGGATGTTAAGAAGAGATTATGTAAGTGATTTTTAAAACAAATATATTCATCTTTAGAGCTTTAATATACAACCATATATGCTGAATCTCCTTCTTTAAGCTATGATAAATGGAAAATGGCTATTAAGTGACAAATTTACTGAAATTCAAAATATCTATAAGAACGTATCCAAATATGCGTTCAGTTGGCATTGATAGTCAGTTTCTAGGATGTTTCACATTACTATTCATGTTTCTCCTGCTAGCCAAAAATGTAACATCCCATCTTAGTATTAGTATGATTTGGTAGGTTTTTCAGGGCCTGGGGTGTTCAAAATATTATATATAAATTAATGGTATTCCCAGACCCCCCAAAATAACCTAGCAAATCATACCAAATAGTAGTGTTCTTTTTTCAGGTAGTAGGGAAATCTTTTAAAAATGTACTTGGCCTATACTCAAGATCCTAAACTACAAGATGTGAAAAAGAAAAGAGAGCCCTAAGATTTTTAAAAAGCACTCTTTATTGTGGCAAAATATACATTTAAAAGCAGATTTTTAAGGAGAGGGAGATTTCCAATTGTCTGCCTGTTGTCTCTCAAATCCTACATCCTTCATTCTACAAGGTGCCCTTTGATGTCAGGCTAACTATCTTGGACAGTACAACTTCCAAACCCCAACTTTGATAATGTTCAGCCTGGTGAACAGGCTGGAGTGAGAGGCTGGAAGGTGGGAAGAGGATGAATTCATTCTGGTTCTAGTTCCTGCCAGGATCTTTGCAGTCATGCAAAGCCCCATGCCCATGATTTTCAGCACTCCTAATACCAACCTGTGAACACTCCCTTCAGTCATCTGAACACAAACCTCAGGAAGCCCTTTTGATGGTTTTAGGATGTGCCACAGTGTTCTCCCAGAAGTCACAGCACCAGTCGTATTCTACCTAACTCCTGAATCCCAGGTCTGATAGCCAAGCACCTCCTGACACCCCTGCTCTTAGCCCTCATAATAATGATAATACCTACCCCCCCCACCCCCTAGGGTAGTGGCTGCTTCTGGCACTTACTAATCTGTGCACTTGAGTGTGCCAATGCCCTTTTTGTTCTTCACTATATTATATGCCTTCTGCTATCTAGCTTGGTTTTTCTTTCCTCACTAGAAACCTTGTCTATACTAGAAAATATCTATTTTAATAACTCATCTTTAATCTAAGATAAAGCAATTCCTTCTAATTACCTTCAACACATGGTTGTTTAAGTGCTGAGATTGGTAAAGTTGTAGGTGAAGATGTACTGGATGCCTGAGTCTCCGGAAGAGGCTGATTAGTGGCACATTCATCAGAATGACTCAGTTTAAGGTTAGAATCAGTTGGACTCATCATCCTTTCAAATGCCTGAGCTATAAAAGGGAAAAAATATTAAAATCTCACATTTTAAAATTTTAATCAATGGCTAAGCAAGAAAAAGAAGTGACACTTGTAAAGATAAAATCCTTACTGTAGCTGGCAGCACTCCAGTATAAGTTACCAACTAGTTATTTCAGTGCTCTGTTTGGCGTATATTTGATATCTACTAAAGAACATAACTGTTACATAACACGATTGCCTGTTTTGCCCTTGCACCCTTAGTCTATTTACAACACCATGCAGAGTGACTCTTTGAAGACAAAAATCCTATCACATCATTCCTCTGCTTGAAATCCTTTAATGGCTTCTTCCCAACTGGAATGAAAATTTAAGGTGATACAATGCCACATAACCTTACCCTGCTACCTCCTCTGCCTTCCCAATTAGCTGTGTGACCTCAGCTCTCATTACAAACCTACTCACTAAGTATGAGCCAGTCACCTAGGCTTCCTTGTTCTGCAAGTCTAACAAGGATACTCTTAACAAGGATTGCTCTTAACTCTTTTCTTTGCAGAGAATGCTCTTCCGATAGGTAGTCATAAAATTTTATTCTCTCACTTCAAGTCTCTACTCATGTCACATAAAGCCTTACTTTCCAACCACCATTAATACTATCTCTTGTCAATAATCTGTTACTATCTACTCCTCTTACATTCTTTTTAGCTTAGAATATTATTGCCACCTGACAGTCTCTTTGCTTGCTGTTACAATCTCCACACATTTATCAAATCATAAATTCTAAGAAAACAAGGATACTACTTTGTTCTCAACTAGAGTTCCAAACTGCAGAACCATGCCTAAACACTGCTGAATGATTTTTCATTCAAAGGGCATGGGACAGCACTGGCAGCTCTTCTTTTTACAATCCTCCTATAAATGCTGCCACTGCTAAAATAAACTTACATTATTTAGTGCCACTAAATAATAGTACTCTCATGAAATGGTTTCCACTACCCAAATGAAATCCAGATAGCTTATCCTGGGTTTCACAGTAATTTATGTTTTGCTCCAAATCTCCTAAACAGTAATCACACACATACTTCCTTCAAGCTAACACATTCTCAGCAAGTCTGCCTCATTATTGAAATTCTCTCATCAGTCTGTCTTTCTGGCAGTCCTTCAAGGAGTTTGTCTTACAACCCATAAGTTATCTTTCTCTTCTTTAAATGACATTGTTTAAATAATCTCCTATAACTTTATGCTTTCTTGTGGTGTATAAATTAATGATACAGCCAAAAACAAACTTACAGAATAAAACAGGTAAATAAACAAATTCATTCGAAATATACTTTGATAAAGCAAATGTTGATCTCAGCATGCTAAGTCTCAATGTCTGTTACCTTCACCCCTCTTGAATGCTTAGTTGGAATATTTTAATGCTTATCCAAGATTCTGACCTATCAACACAAATACTCTTTAAAATCCTCATAATTATTTCATTTACTTTTGAACTGGGGAGTGATACTTATGTGGAAGCTTGCTCTAGTATGCCTGAACTAGATCTAGCAGGTTGCCATGGTTTACAACACCAGCAGTCATTTTCCAGGATACTGAGAGAGCATAAGGAAAAACAAAACTACAAGCACTAAAATTGACCTTTTTATACAAAAGAAAGGTACAATATGCAAAGACATAAACTATCTCCCAGAGCAGAGATCAACAGCAGAGATTAAAGCAGCTTACCTCAGGCTAACAGACTCACATCAGAGCTTTTTGAAGAACTGCTGAAAAAATTTATCTTCACTCAAAAGAGAAAAACAAATTATTATCAAGTATTCTCCTGTCTAAGAGGAAGGAGTACTTGAGTTAGTTCACAGGCCTGGTCTTAAAAAGTCCCAAATAATAGTTGCTGGGAATTAAACTGTCAACAAAACTTTGAAAATGTCAAGAAGTAATCAAAAGAACAAACATGTATTTGAGGAAAAAAAGGTAACACACACACAACTCTTAAGAACTGAAGACTATCAAGATTATTGCTGATAATGAGAGCTAACTAGGGATCCAGAGAAACAATGGAAAACACATACAAAAAAAATCTTAAAATCAAGAAAGGAAAGAAATGATAAAAACATGCAAATAGTATGGCAGTCCTATGAAACTGACTATAAAATCATAAATACTACTATCTTTTATTCCCACTTTAGGCTGTTATTAATTAAAGGGTGGGAACTGTTATCTTGCCTTATGTTGGTAATATATAAGACTGACTGCTATTTATTGGTAGGTATTCTACAAATGTTTACACTAAGATGATGAGGATGACAATAATGATGACAGAAACAAATAGGCAGATAAAATGCAGCATTTAGGGACTTTGGTACCTGTTCAAAGTTAATGAACTGCCACTCCAGAAACTGAATGCTTCCTTTCCACACTGGTAGTATTAATTGTGAGAGTGGAACAAAAAGAAGAGAAACCAAGCCTTGGGATGTCCCACCTAAGCCAGATAAGTCAACACTAGGTCCTCGCCTTAAGAAAATAAAGAAGTTTATCTTTGTCACAATCCAGTTGTTTTTAAGACATATACAATTACTGGAAGAAAAAAATGCCAGGTTAATACTCACCTTTACTAATAGTCTCATAGCAGACTACACATACTCTTGCTTCCTTGTCAAGATACTGTAATTTACATTTCCTATTACAACAGACACCACAAAATACCTAAAAGGAACAAAATAACAAGTAAGGTTTTGTTTTAGGCATATTTATACTTACTGGAGGCAGGGAAAGGAGAATCCTAAAATCTAATTAACTAAAAACACTTTTCCTTATTATACAAATAATTTGTCTAATCACCATAATCCATAGGGAGCTATTAAAATAAAATTTTAAATGAGATCTACAGTTTAAAATCGTATCTCTGAAAAGAAGAATTTCTTTACATCAATTCTATCCATAGAAAGGAATAAAAATTGGGCCCTCCCTGGTGGCACAGCGGGCTAAAGTGCAGCACTAAGAAGCTAAAGCCACTTCAGCATGAGTTCAATCCCCGCCCTGGAGGTGACCCACATAGCGCGGCAGACCTCTCCTGACCCACCAGCTGCTCCCCTCAGCAGTGTACTTCCCTGTCTGCCTGTTCTGCTCCCCACTCTGTCTCTGGGGAATCCTCTCACCGCCCCTGCACCTCTGACCTGTACCCCAGTTCTGTATGCATAAATCTTTTTTAAAAAAGGGATAAAGATTTTCTTTAATGAATACATTCATAATTTAAAAAGTATTCTATGGCTATTTAAAACTTTAAAAAGCAGGCATCTCTTTCTACCTATTGCTTCTAAGCAAGCATCATCTTCTTCCTTTCTTCTAATAAACCTAACATTTTTGGATCTTAAAAAAATTTTTTTAAAGTAGAATTTTTCAGAGAGGAAGGCTGATCTGAAACCAACCAATAACTGAAAAGTGTTGAATAAAAAATGCAGTGCTATTTCTAAAAGCAACTCTTGGAGTTCATAAACTAAGATAGAATGCAAATAAGGTCAGCTTCGGTGTTCTGAACCTTATGTAAGTGAGTTATTTTTCCCTCATCTAACTATTAGCTGTAGAATGTTGTGCTATTAAGTATTTAAAGATAAAGGGGCATCCAGTTGAATTTGGAACAGCTGATGTTAGTGAGATAAAAACAAGTATTAGATTTCACAAATATTTGTAGTTAGCATTCCTCATTTCCAGTGTGTGATACCCACGACAACCCTCCATCAACCTGTAGAATGACAATGCTTTATACACATCCATATAGGTGAAAAACAATGATTTTGAAATAGTTGAATCCTTTAATCATCTATGCATCAGGGGTTTTTCTGGCTACATTTAACTTTATTTAAAACATTTCAAAATAAGACTTAAGAGAATATAACTTACTTTCCCACAGGCTCGGCAATGGTGTCGCCGTTTTGTAAAAGTAAATTTGACTTGGCAGTTCATACAGTTTGGAGCTTCTGAATCAGGAACCCAAGGAGGTTGTTTCTGGCCCAAAACCAGGCCTTCTTTACAAGTACTTGTAGGAAGGGATTCTTCATTTGAGGTTACAAAATTAGATCCACCTTCAAAATTACTTTCTATATCAATGTAATTAGAGTTGAAGCTAATCTGATGATCAGTTGTAGAATTTGTTGTATAACTGGTTGAAGCAATGGTACTTCCTATGCTGGGCTCACTTTCAGCCATATTTGGAACATCTGGTTTACTTGGTTCTTTTGAACTCCTTGTTCTTGATGGAATACTAAACAATTGCTTAGGTCTGGCCCCTCCAACATGAATAGACTGGCTGCTAATATCAGAGACTGATAATTCATTTGTAATTTCAGACTTAGAGCTAGATAACTGTTCAACTGGAACTGAGCTTGTTTCCTCTAAAGAAAGGCCACTATTTTCTGTTGTTTTCTGTTTATCAACGGTCTCATAAATCATATTAACACCAGGATTTTCCCCAGTAGCTCCTGCTTTGGCATTGAAATACATATTATTGATGGTCCCATCATCTAAGCCTTTCATATCTATCTGATTCATCTGAGTTTCTGAGTCATTCGCATCTTGTTCAAAAGATTTCATGTTACCAGTCTGAAGATACTGTTCCGTCAAAAAAGCATCAAGTTCAGCATCACTAATTAATGCACCACTCTTCATTCCTTCATCAATATTAAAGTAATCTAAGTCTTGCCCATCAATACTGTTTGAAAAAGTGAGATCTTCACAATGATCAGGAGATTCTGCGGCATTTACACCAATAAGTTCTATTTGAGACTCTGCAGCTATAGAACAATTAGTATGATCAGGGTAATCCAAAGATTCCACTCTGCCTACTGTCTGGTCAGGATCTAACTTCCTATCCCCTGTCTTCTCACTTAGTGGCTCGTGGATCTTTTCACATTTTTCCTGTCTCAAAAAATCAGCCTCTTTCAATTGTTCCCCACCCAGAATAACACTCTTCAGTATTTCTCCATCCTCAGTTACTGTATTTTGTATATTATCTTTACAGTCATTTTGAGGTAAACAATCACCATGAACTTTACTTTCAATTAATGATCCATATAAAGACTCAGGCACTGGAAGACAGGACAATGATGAACATATATTTTCGCTTAAAACATGTAAAGTAGAAGAGGAATCTTGGGTTACATCTTTATTATCTTTAAGATTGATATTTCTTGAGTCTTCTTTTGAAGACTGTTTTATAAATATAGCAGTCCTATCTTCCTGAAAGGAAAAGTCAGGTAATTTGGAATATTCATCTCCTGAATTTGAATCATTTAAGCATAAACCTTCATTCTGTGAAAGATTGCAAGGCAAACTATTTGTGCTGTCTTCTTTTAAGAATTCTGTGGCAGGTGTGACTGCCACATCTACTTCCTCTTTTACCAAAAAGCCATCAGCTTTTATTTTACAAGGCTGGTTCCTGCGCTGTAGGCTGTCTTTGGCGTCAAATATTTTGGAACTTTGTTGAATCAAAGCAGATGGCATGTTGAAATCAACAACTGGTTCTAACTGATTAGAAAACTTATCTTTTAAATTTTCTTTTCCATCATCATTATATAAATCTGAAAGTGTTATATCAACTTTTATATCCAATTCTTTAGTTCCACTAATTTCTCTACTTTGCAACTCACAGTTGGTATCATTTTGTTCCTCTCTGACAGTATTATCACCATGGCCTAATGAAGAATCACAAAGAGTTTCTGACACTGAAGATAAATCCAATCCAACCAAAGATTCTGCACTAGACTTAAAATCATCTGGCAATAATCTTTTAATATCTTCTTCACTATTAGTTACATGAACTAAGTTACCCATGTCACTTATCAGATCACAGACAGGTTTACTACATCTTCCCATATATGAAGGCTGGATTTCATCTGAAGTGCCACCATCCACAGAAGAAAGAAGATCAAGTCCTGTTACATTTTTTTCATTTTGTATAGAAGTTAGTCCCTCGAGAGTTTTTTCATTCAGGGAAATCTTATTTGTTTCATAGCATGTATCAGCTGAGGCACAACAATTAACACACTGATGATCCTTTGGTAGCAATGAAGTTAGCTGTGAGGAAGCCAATTCTGAAGAGACTGAACAATGATTAGAATCATACGCATATTGTGCTTCTTGAAGATAATCTTGTTCATCTAATTAAAAGAGATACATGTTAAGGAGACCCAAATCAAAATTATTACAAAGATGCTAAGACTTCTAAACTAACTTTTAAGAACAGAGATGAGTTCATTTCTTACAAAATGGTAATAATCTGCAAAATTATCTTTATTTGGATTTAAAGTAGATGAGATTTTTGCTTCTAAATACAGATGTTAGATAGTAATAGAAATTCCATTCAAAATAATTCAGTTTGCACTAAAAAAACCTGATGAAGGAAGAGCTGAAAAACAATCTCACTATTATATTTTGGATTCCAGTTTCCTAGTCATTATTCTAAGATGAGAAAAATACCCATTCTTATGGTAATAAAATGCCCATTTACCTAAAGCTTTCAAGTTCTTTTTAATCAGCCCCGATTTTTATTTTAAAGGTTTTTCTTTTAGCTAAAATTCTAGCTTCCTCTAGTTTTCTGACTACTGGTTCCATTCAGGGTAAGAATAAACTAATATACTACAATGAAATAGAAAAAGCTTTATGTAAGATAAGATATCATGTGAACAAAAGTGAAGCCAAATTTTACTGAGTACATTATACCAGAAATAAGTGAACTAGACATTAAACTTTCATTATTTCAATAACAAAAATCATTTATTAAAAATAAATAAAATTCCATTAGTGATAAAAATAAAAAAATCAACAAACCTGGATTTTGTTCAAAATCATCAAGAAGTTTGTCCAAATCACTGACCGCTGCCTTAAAGTAACTGTCCATCTTACTTGTAGGTTTATTCAGGATTTAATTCCTGTATGCCTAGAAAATAGAAAGAATGATAATTCATTCAACTGTCTAATATATAAATATTACGCCATTCACTGCATGCCAAGAAACTTGGAAATTAGATACAAATAAAACTTAAGAATATTGTTTAGCGGGATCTATAACGTAGGTGGGGAAAATGACTATATATAAAGATGACATAAAAATCAACTCTGACAATAACTACATCAATAAGCTATTGTAAATTTAAAATCATTTCTCTAACTCCTGAGTAAAGAAGACATCATAAAGCTAAAAATGGTACCATCAACTAAAATACCACATACAAAAATTAGTAGGATTCAGCAAAATGTTAGTTCAGCAGATACACAGAGCCTTAAGATACCTAAAATAGAAAAAAGACTGAAAACTCATGCTAAGAATAGAAATTACAGGAAAACTGATTTTAGTGTACACATGAAAAATATTCTAAAGTTTTCCTAGAATGGCCACCACATAAGTGAAGAAGAACAAGACTGAGGCCTCATCCTCTAATTTGAAAACTTACACCAAGGTTACAGTAATAAGGGCAAAGTAGTAGTGGCACAACAAGAAACAAGTAGATGATGGAACAGAAGAGAGAGCCCAGAACAGATCGCTCTAACATAGTCACTGATACTTAACGAAGGGGTAAAGGCAATTTTAAGAGAAGGACAGTCTTTTCAACAAGTGGTACAAAAAATACTGAACACTTCTATGAACCTAGATACACAGATCTTATTGCTTACATAAAAAATGCATTTAAAACAGAAAGTGGGCCTAAATGTAAAGTGTAATACCAAAACACCTATTGAAGAAAATATAAGAGATTCTACAAATTTTGGATATGATGATTTTACTGATTTCTGAAACAAAAAAATAATTGGTAAGCTTGACTTTGTTAAAATTACCTCCTCTGAAAAAGTTCCTTTTAAGAGAATGAAAAGACAAAAACTGAGAGATAACATTTGCAAAACATGTATGTTCAAAACAAAAATCTAGAAGAAACCCTTAACATTCTGTAATTTTAAAAAAGTGGGCCTCCCTGGTAGTGCAAAGGGTTAGCCTTATCACTATGAAGTTAGCATCAGCGACTGCAGCAGAGTTCTTTCCCTGATCAAGGAAAGAATACACCTGGCGTAGCAGACCTCTCCTGTCCCGCCCATTGCTCCCTTCAGCAGTGTATTCCAGTTGATCTGCCTATTCTGCTCCCCACTCTGTCTCTGGTGAATCCTCTCATCTACCACACCCCTGGCCTACACCTCAGCTCTTGTATGCATACAATAAATCTTTTTAAAAAAATATAATAAACTAAGAGTAAATAAGTTTAAAAAACAAGCAATGCAATTTTGAAAAGATAAGAGTTCTGAACAGAGCTCTTCACCAAAGATGACAAAAAGATGGTAAATAAACACGTAAAAATAAAATCAACACTATCTGTGTTTAGAGAACTGCAGATTAAGACAATGAAATATTTCACATCTATTACAATGACTAAAATTTTAAAAAGTTGACAAAAACAAAGACTATGAAGATGCTGAACAGCAAGAACTCCCTTTTATTACTGTTGGGAATACAAAATAGAAGTCACTTTGTAAGAAGCTTGACAATTTCTTACAAAACTGAACAGTCTTACCATATGATCAAATGATCATACTGCTAGCCATTTACCCAACTGATTTAAAGATTTAAATCCACTAAGAACTTAGATTAAAAATTTATAGAATGGCCCTCCCTGGTGGCACAACAGGTTAGGATGCAGCACTGCAAGCTAGCCACAGCTGCTTCAGTGTAGAGTTTGATCCCCAGCCCTGGAGATAACCCACATGGCGCAGCAGACCTCTTCTGACCCGTCCGCTGCTCCCCTCAGCACTGTACTTCGTCAATCTGCCTTTTCTGCGCCCTACTATTGTCTCTGGTGAATCCTCTTACCGCCCCTGCATCTCTGGCCTGTACCTCAGTTCTGTATGTATATATAAAAAAATCTTTAAAAAAATTATAGCAACCACATTTGAAAGTGGCAAAGTTTAGAATGCACTCAAATTTTGTCCTTTAGCCAGTGACTGGGTAAGTAAACTGTGGTACATCCACACTCTACAAATGGTAAAACTACAGAGATAGTAAACACGTAAGTGACTGCCTGTGGTTTGAGTGACAAAGGGTTGAAAAGATAAAGTCCAGTGGATATTTTAGTGTGGTGAAACTATTTTGTATGATATCATACTGGAGATACAGGACAGTAAACACTTATCAGTAACAACAGAACTTTACAACCTTGACATATGCAAATTTAAAAAAAATATTTAGAAGTCCAGACAATCTCAGAATGAAATGCAGCATTTATACATTTATACAAATGTATAAAACAACCTTACTGAAAAAAGTATGTGGAGGAATAAAGTGCTACCTTCAGAAGAGTGTGGAGTGTGTAAGACTCAAGGCAAAAGGACCACATGCACTGTACTCTAGTTGACACAGCTGTTTCCTGTGTGGGTACCAGTTAACAATTCTGAAACCACCATCTATGTATGCTGACACTAAAATAAAGTAAATGGACAGCTAATGACGGAAGCCAGGTTTCTCACTGTTGGAGGGGAAAGTTATATAGATAAGGAAGGGGAGAAAGCTAAAATGATTCATGTGGTAATGCATTTACTCAAAGGAGATACCAGAATAAGTATGCTTAGCTTAATATAGTCCAATGGTTACACAAGTGCTATTTTTTTTTAAAAGATTTATTCATTTGTACATACAGAACTGGGGTACAGGCCAGAGGCTCAGGGGCGGTGAGAGGCTTCACCAGAGACAGAGTGGGGAGCCAGAACCTGCAGATCGAGAAAGTACACTGCTGAGGGGAGCAGCGGGCGGGTCAGGAGAGGTCTGCCACGCCATGTGGTCACCTCCGGGGCAGGCGGGAATCGAACTCATGCGGAAGTGGCTTTAGCTTCTCAGTGCAGTGCTTTAACCGGCTGCGCCACCAGGGAGGGCTCACAAGTGCTATTTTTTAAGGTACTTTTAGATATTAAGCATAACTATATTATTTCTCATGCTATCAGCTGAAAGGGCACAGGGCACACCCCAATAGCAATAAGCACACTTAGGTATTGTTTTCTCTAGCAAAAGGAACCAAGGCTCTATGGATAAACAGCTGATTCTAAGTTTGGGGCAGAAAATATACAAAATTAGCATGGCGCATTTTTTTTTAAGATTTATTTATTTATTCATACAGAACTAGGGTACAGGCCAGAGATGTGGAGGGTGAGAGGATTCACCAGAGACAGAGCGGGGAGCAGAACAGACAGATCGACGAAGCACACTGCTGAGGGGAGCAGCCGGCGGGTCATGCCATGTGGTCACCTCCGGGGCAGGCGGGAATCGAACTCATGCGGAAGTGGCTTTAGCTTCTTAGTGCTGTGCTTTAACCCGCTGTGCCACCAGGGAGGGCCAGCATGGTGCATTTTATAGTACCAGAAAGATACCTCTTATATATTTGTTCATTCATATATTACAAGTATTTTGGCCAGTGCCTATCACATAAAATGTGTTTAATATATACTTAGTGAATAGATATAAATGGTTTCAGAGAGAAATAATAGGCCAGCTGGTTATCATATCTGGTATTAATTTTCTCAATATTTAATACCAGTAGCTAGAAAATAATGGCCTCTGAAATTCCAAGTAAATGATCTGTATGTCTCCCGGGTGGCGTAGGAGTTAAGTCACAGCCCTATCATGCTATCACTGCTTTGGCCTGAGTTCCATCCCTGGCAGACATCTCCTGCCTCAACCAGCTTTATTTCAGTAGATCTGCCAGTTATGCTCCCCACTCTGTCCCTGGTGAATCCTCTCACCTTTCCCCTCCCCTGCACCTCTGGTCTATACCCCAGTTCTTGTATGCATAATAAAAACAAAGCTTTAAAAAAAGTAAATTATTTGCATCTTAGAGTCTACAACCAGTTATCAAGCAAGTGTGATGGTAGGATTTTAAAAAGATGTATAGTTTATACTTAGAAGTGGGGTAAATATGCATTTACTTTGGGATGATTGGTACAATACTTTTACATCTATGGAACCTACTTTTTCAAGCTCAGTGGCTTGAACTATATTTAAACCGTACAATCTGTAAGGTTTTTATAGACTATTCACCTGTGAAACTGGTTACGCAAATCATGTATTTCTTAACACATGTAAGAACAAACAGTAAACTATGTTTAGGTATGTAAGAACCCCTCAAATCTGTCTCCTATTCAGTTTTCTTCAGGAAGCTACAAGATTCACTCTGTAACATGAGGAAAACACCAAGCTACCCAACATGGAAGAAATAAATGGAATCCACAGACAATCACAAAAGGACCCTCCAGGGAGACAGCAACAGACCTAGAGCGCAACCAGAAGTGGACAGCAGAGTGATACACAATTATAGGAATGTTACAAAACAGTGTCGGATATGACTGAATCTGCTAAAAGGAGCTTTATACATCTTCTCTAAAGGATGGTTAATAGATTAAATAAAAAAAATAAAAGCTATAACTGTTATAAAGACCCATGCAAGAAAGATATAACTAAGCTAATTGTAAACTCTGAGAAAAAACAATTATATTAGGAGTTATCATCACAATATACCACCAGACTCAGCTGTGCACAATATTAACATAGTTAAATGATGTAAAGACTAAATAATGATTTAACCTAAAATTAACATGTAACAAACTTACAAATAATATGTGGGGGGGAGTGAGAAGTGCAATGTAGTGTATTAAGGTTGATGCAACAATCCTAAATTTCTATCTTCTACATGAACTTGGCAAATGGTAGAAAGGGGAGATCCTATATAAACATGTTATTTGAAAAAACTAGAAGTGAAAAGAATTAGATATACATTAATTCAGAGAAAAATAACAGCCTAGTTAACTAATTAGGCTTTAAAAACAGAAAGCTTCTAATTTATATGACAAATTAACTTCTATACATCTAAAGTGTTTCTAGTTATATGAAATCCCTGGGGGAATTATTTT